TGCCAATCTATCTACCACTGCTAATCTATCGCTGCTAATCTATCGCTGCTAATCTATTGCTGCTAATCTATCTATCACTGCTAATCTATCGCTGCCAACCTACCTACCGCTGCCAATCTATCTACCACTGCCAATCTACCTACCGCTGCCAACCTACCTACCACTGCTAATCTATCACTGCTAATCTATCGCTGCTAATCTATTGCTGCTAATCTATCACTGCTAATCTATTGCTGCTAATCTATCTATCACTGCTAATCTATTGCTGCCAACCTACCTACCGCTGCCAACCTACCTACCGCTGCCAACCTACCTACCACTGCTAATCTATCACTGCTAATCTATCACTGCCAACCTATATAGGGTAAATCATGGTCCCATTTGGTCCCATTTTGTAAAATGGGACCAAATGGGACTGGGACCACTAATTTATTAGTAAAACATGATCTGGGACTAGATTTATAATATAAACAGTGTAAAGTGACTAATTTACTAAACACTATATGGGACCAGGACTAAGATATCTAATAATGGGACTGAGGAAAAATTTGGTCCCAGTCCCATGCATGGTCACACGGCCAGTCTAGTTTCAGATATATGATTTTCAAATCAAATACTGAAAAAAGTTGAATACTATTATATCAGATACTATAAGTTATAGATCTGACTTTATAGAAGAAGACTCAGTGAATATAATATAGAAAGAGTTTATACTGACAATACTGAGAAATTATAATAAAATAGAGTAATTAAAAGCTATAATTATCTGCTTGAGAAATGAGAGTATATCAGATAATAAATATTTAATAAAGATAATAAAAGAAATACTTCTGAAATTCAAGTTTACAAAGTTGAAAAAAAATATTGTACTCTATTATAATCTCAGTTACACTGAGATACTGTATCTTAAGTTTTAATTTTAATAAAATCTGATAAATTATATATATAAGAAATTCAGTTACTTGAGAAGTTCAGAACTTTTAGATATTCTAAAAGATTAAATATATTAATTAAATATAAAAAAAAATATTCAGATATATACACAAGAATATCTGAACTGTCAAATCTCTAAGAATATAAAATAAAAATTAAAATATAAAAGAGTACAATATTAGATAGAAAGTATAATTAAGCTGTTTGAATGTTGAGAAATAGATCTTATAGAGATATTATCACAGATATCAAATAAAAACTGCTGAATAATAACAGTAGTTAATTATATTACAGAGTGATTAATTATATAAATAATGTCAAAAGTAACAGAGAAAATCATTACTAAGTTTCTATACAATGATATCTATATTAACTATAATATACTCTGTGAGATATTGATAGATAATAAAATAAATTTTATAAAAAAAGCTGTAAGATACTTTGTCAAACAGTTGCAGACAAAGTATTGCATGACAACACTCTATCATTTTTATATAAATAAAAAAATTAAATACTTAAATAGAATACTAGACAGTATACTGATAAAATATCTAGTAAAAAAGTTTATAAAATTATAAAATGAATATTTTAAATAAGTATTATTTATAATATAAATTTGTTAGTATACAGTCTTAAAGTATTTGCTGTTCTATCTGCTCTATAAAATATATCTGTATATTTCAGAGAATATATAGAAATAGATAGAGAAGAAGATAGCAGTTATAAATATAAAAATAAAAATAAAAAAAGTTAGTTATATTCAAGTAAAAGCAAACAAATTACTGCTCAACTGTTTTATATAATTAAAAAAAATATAAAACTCACTAGTAAAAGAAATAAGTCTTGCAATGAGTATTTAAATTTTTATATATAATAAAAGATCTGAGAAGTTTTAATTAAGATGATTTAAGCTGTATAAAATTCTCAAATTATACTTTTTTAAAATATATACTTTGAAGAAATCAGAAGAGTGAGTTCTATACAATCTCATCAATAATTTTTATTTTATAGAAATAAAAATAGAAGATTTAAATGAACTGTGATTATCTGCAGTACTATCATCAGCATTGAAGAAAAGAGAATTTATAATAGAAAAATCTCAAAAAGTTAGAGAAATCATCAACACTTATAAACTGAATAATATCATTTACTTGAATCTCTTTATAATAATTAAAAAGAAATGAGAGAAAATGGAAAAAGTGAGTATACAGCATGCACTGATAAGTGATAAGACTGTCACTAATTATATAATATTGTAATATAGATAGTAGATATAATACAATCAGAGATAAACTCAAGACAGCTGATCAATATATAAGTCAGATTATAAAAATAAAAAAAATTCAGATAAAAATTCAACTATCTATACTAATTCAAATATAAAGATTTCAGAGAATAAACTGTCAGAAATATCAATGAATATACTGAATTAAATCAATTCAGTATCTGAAAATACTCAAAAATTAAATGAGATTAGTTTCAATAAATTATTCACTGTAGTTATCTGAGCTTATAAAAAGAGACAGTATAATATATAGAGATAGAATATTTTTATTAAAAGATATAAGATCTACTGCATCTGATTATCAAAATGTAGAACTGATAAAAAATTATATAAAATTAATATTAAATAAAAAGAAGAGAAAGAGAAAAAAAAAATCAGAAAAAAAATCTATTTATATACAGCTCTAGTAACTGCTGTAAGAGCTTTATCTGATTTCTAAAAATATAAAAATATTACAAAATAAAGAAAAAGAAAAAGATGTATATCAATGAAACATTCAAACTTAATATTTTTAGAAACAATTTATATACAATAAAAATTAAAACTTAATCTGTACTAAAAACTTTAAGATCTTAAGATAAATATATAGAAGTATGAAATATATCTTTATCTTACAAAGAATCTGATATATTAATTCAATATCTTCAATAGAGAGATTTATAGAAAGCTTAATAAAATAATAAAAATATATATATAGAGAAAAATCAATCAGAGTAGAAGAGAGTGAGACAGAAATAGATAAAATAATAAAGTAAATATCTGAGTCTCTATAAGAATAAGTGATAAATATTTATTTAATAAAAAGTGAAGAAAGAAAAGAAAAAGTAGAAGTAGAAGTAAAAGCAGAGAAGAATAGATAAATTGTAAGAGAATTGAAGATAGAAGTAGCAATAGATATATATAAAATAATATCTGAAATAACTATAAAGTATTAACAGCTATTATAATATAAAGAAAAGAGTATATACTTATCAAAAGAACAGAAACTCTTTTTGAAACTTTATAAATAATTATAATAGAAATAAAGATGATCAATAAAACAGTTATATATAAAAGACAGAATACAAAATTGAAATAAGTCTTTACTGTATATATAACTTATATAAGAAACAGATATATATTCACTTCAAATATAAAAAAGCACTATATTACTGTTTGAACTATTTTGTATATATATATTCTTTCTACAAATAATTAGTTTGAAAGTTATATATTAATATAAAGAATAATAGTATTTGTCTAATAAGCTGAAAGTATATAAAGATAAGAAAATAATGTAAAAACTGATATAAATAAATATAATATAGAGATTTTTATCTGTTATAATCTTAATAATACAGAGACTCTGAATAATTTCATCTATAATAAATTAAAATAAAATTTATAAATAAAGAGAAAGATATTGTATATACTCAGTATAATCTATTTGAATAACAGTGTTTTTTCTGAGATATATAAAATTGCTAAATATTTCATACTTGTTTTAAGCAAGAGATATAACTGATAAATAGCTAGTGAAACAGATTGTATTATATAAAATTTATATATAAAAATATATTTTTTTGAAAGCAGTGGATATAGAAGAGAGATGTAAAAAATAAAGAAAGAGACTACTGAAGATATACAATATCTCTAAGAGAATAAATAAAAATAAAAAATTAGTATAAAAAAAGAGAAGAGAATTGATGTGAGTAGAAGAGATAGAATCAGAAATAGTAGAGAAAATATAGACAGTAGAAAAGACAGAGATAGTAAAAGAGATGAAAATAATAGAAAAGATAGAGATATAAACAGAGACAGAGAGAGCAGTAATAGAAGATAATATAAGAGTATCTGTTATTATATTATTATTATAAACATTATTATTATTATTCATATTCACATCAGTGATCTCATCAACTACTTCACTTATATTTTTATTATTAATTGAGATGTTTATATTATTATCATTGTATCTAATCTTTATAATATTATCAGATATGATCTTTTCAACAGAAGTAAGATTGTATGAAAAGAGATTATTAAAAGAAAAATTTGAATAATTATAAGTTAGATATATACTCTGATAATAAGAAATAGAAGCTAGTAATAATTAGTAACTATAAGAGTCATTGATTTGCAGTTAAATTAGTTTTTGATAAAATTTAATCAATAAAAACTTATCAGTAGATCAGTTGATATAACTAGAATAATATAAACTACAATAATCAGATATTATATTGTAGAACAGAGAAGACTAGATAATTTGATAGAATAGAATAGATATATAGAACAATCAAAAATAAAACAGAGAAGATCAAATAAAGAAGTATGAGTGAATGAATAGAATAAAATAATTGTGAATATAATATAGTTAGTAATGAGATGATGTTGTTGTGATAGAAATTCTTGTGTATATGAAGTGAGAGTGTCTTACTGTTTTGAGTTAGACAACATATGATCACAATAAGAGCTTGATGAATATATACTATGAACATTTCAGAGATAGTGTACTGCAAAGACAGATACAGACAGCAGAATACTGTTATAAAAGTGTAGACAGATTTGATAGAGAAGAATGTAGTAATTTCAGCTTATTATTCTTTCAGAGTGTATGCCACCCTCTATTATCAAGGATGGTGTATGCTACTGCACTAGTTATTTTGTATAAGAAGAGCTGCAAAGCTTAGAAGCTTTGAGAAGCTCAAGCAACCTTTGAATCACAGGTCCTTCAAACTCTATACTACTAGTTCTAGAGTACCTGGTTCCTAACCGACCCACTCGCGCGCGTCTATTCTTCGAAATGGCGGAGCTTCCCAGACGGAGGCGGAAGGCAGTTGATGGCCTAGATAAGATCCCATCCACTGAGCAGGAGTGGCTTGAAATGGTCACAACCTATAGCTTGGTCAATGCCAAACTCCAGGACTTGTGCTCCTATGGTAGGCCCTTCAAGTACTTCAACAGAAGTTAGCACTATTCCCTAACTTTATTTCTTCGGGATAAGGCTCTTTCTCTGCATCAACAGTACCTAAAGAAGCCTTCCTCACTGTTCGATGCATTTGGCCAGCAGTGACGGCTGTTGGGGATGCATTCCCATATATTCTCCACTGTGGGCCGGGCCACACCACCACACCCACGGGTATATATATCATTGTGAGCGCAACCATTTAGCAAATGGTTACGTTGGCTTTGTGCTATGGATAACCTAGTGTTCGTGATGCTATATTATCACAAGCAGATGATAAGCATGGGGAACGTGGTGATCTTAAGGATATAAATTTCCTTCTGGATTTCATAGTAGAACGAGGACTTAAGTGGAGGACGACTGTGCGCAAAATGTTCAGGTATGTCTTTTTTTCTTGGCGCGTAAGTTATAGGGAAACGCTCTTCTCTTGGAACAGTATGCAGTCTTTTGTCCATAATTTGCCTTTTTAAACTAACAAGCATTGAGAATGGGCCTAGTCCATCTGCAAGCGTGCATGCCCATTCACGAAGTGTCTTCGTTTCGGAACATATGACATCAAACAGAGTGTCTAACTTGTCGAGTCCGAGAAGTTTCCTATTGATAAGCTCTGTAGCCTGGGCAACGTGTTCTTCACTGAAGTACGACCCTGTCCTGGCGTGGCCACCCAACCCACCACCTATACACTGCGACCACCAGCCGCAGCATAGTGGGGAACCACATGCTCTCAGATACCACGTCTGTATTTCCAACCCCCAAAGCGATATCCGGACGTAGGACTGTGGTGGAGTGGCACGAGGTAGTAAGGTGTTTCACATCGCCATAACGAAGGCTGCCGGTTAGCTCGACTAAGACATCTAATGGTACGGGTTCGATGGAGCTATCAAACTGGATGGCTGTTCTATTATCCGCTTGTACTAAGTGCTTGTGTTTTCGTAGGTAGGCGAGGAAAGAGTCTCTTTCTGATGATTCTATCAGAATGTCGATGTCCGCTGTGTGCCTCTCATTTCCCATGAGGCGCATAGCTCCTCCGCCAACAACAATGAAAGGAGGGATATCTTCAACCAATGCCAGTTTGTTGATTGTCTCTAGCACGTTTCCATTTTTCACATTTGCCATGGCGAACTATTGGGAATCGGGGCAGGGGAGCGGGAGAGCAAGGGAGGCCGTAATCGGGAGATTTGGCTAAGTTGGATAACACGCGGTATGTTGCAGGTTTTCAAAAAGTTGAAGAAGAAGGTTTGGAGGAGCTATGAGGCACACAGAAAAAGTTATTGCAGGTAGATTACAAGTTTACCAACACTCGCGCGGTGATATCAACACTGGGGTTGGCCATCGCGGGGTAGGAGGTAACCAATAGCTTGGTCGTGGCAGCTTCGACTTGAGCTCGGCAATCCTGAAGGGTTTCTGGGGTAAGCTATCCGTGGCAGTTGCGACGTCCATTTCGCCATCCTGTACAGCTTGTCTCAAACGGCAAATGTCTGCTCGATCAGAATGAGATAGCATTTTGTAAAAGTATTTGATGAAGAACTGATTTTCAGGTGGTAGACGCTCTCGTAGGTCCTCAGGACATAATACGATCATCCCCGAGTAGATCCATTGCATATGGTAATGTTCAAGGTAGCGTGGCTGCGCACGAGCGGTCACAATTTGGTCGACAAGAGTCTCTATCATAGCTGGGAGTGTGAAACAGGATTTGGTCAGTATCTTCTGCCCATCTATCGATCTACCAGCAACACAAGGTCCTTACAGTTTAGAAAAACCGAAAATCGAGGAAATGGACATGATGTTGAAGGAAGCATGGTTATCGAGGCTTGGTAATGCGCGGTTCCGAGATCAAGATGCCAAACACTCGCCAGAGATAGTATTATGCCAACATTAGTCCCCAATGTACTGTGTTTGATGCGTATACTGGCATCGTCCTCAACAGTCTCTGTGCCACGACGTTCAAATGGCACTTTCTTGAAGTCATGGGAGAGAAGATACGTGGCAGCATCCGAGATCTGATCATCACAGATAGCAAAAACGAGATCAGCCGCAATCATATTGTCCAGGCCATATACTCTGACTGCAAAGTCGCTGACAATGCAAAGACGGTAACCAGCTTTTGCAAGGAGCTCAGCCGCATAAAGCTGTGGAACAAAGCACGCGACATGGGAATCGCCAACATCTTTGTAGCGATCTGAATCCATTTCTCCAGTAAAATGCCCAGGGGTAGAAATTCTTGCCGTATCGTTGGTATCGAGTGGAACCGAATACGAGAGCGAAGAAAACTTGGATGGAATGTTTCTGATATGTCGGTCTCAGACGGCAGAATCTGGCAGATTTAAGAGTGCTTTTATGGCAGAGTGATTGGAGCTTTTATATCACATCATATCAGACTATAACGCAGCATCGTGGATCGCTAGTCCGCAATAGGAAACCTAAGGGCCAACCTTAACCAAGTTAAGATTCGAATTGATTTAGTTCAGCCTTGCGGATAACCTATTAGGCCGCTGGGGCAAAAGGAGCTCAATCAACCACCAGCGCCATGGTGGTACAGAGGGGATGAATCACTCAATCCAAACCCTCCAGCACAATCCACCTGAGTGCGCGACTTGACGCGGGAAATCCATTCACCGCCTTGGCAACATCCTGTTGGCTGGACGTTTGCATCAAAGAGAGCCTACACTACCTATTACGGACTAGCGCACTGCACATCCCTGCCTCAACTGCCTGTACTCCAACTACTTAAGACGTTCCCACAACATCTCATTCCTTCATCTAATCTATATTCTCCTATATCATAAGATGCTGATCCCTTTCATCCAACGTCGTCATTTCACTCCTCTCCTTCCCTAATCTTGCCAATGGCTACCTTTCAATTAGAAAACCAATGTCCAACATGTGATTGGTCGGATTCAAAGCGAAAAACCTGCCGCTACACAAGCCATGTAAAACTCTTCTACGGCGCCGACACGCGGGGCGTCTGGTCTCTGGGATCCGATGTGGTCCTCAAGGAACGGCCGAATATAGGTTCCCAGGATGAAATGGCCAACATTCAGTTTGTCAAAGAAAATACTCAAATTCCAATACCTTCCGTTATAAAGGAATGGACTGATGACAACGATCGACATTTTGTCCTCATGGAACGCATTAAAGGTCAAACACTTGAGGATGCGTGGCCAACCCTGTCCAGTTCTGATAAAGAACGTATAGCGGATCAAGTGGCCAAATGTCTGGTGCAGTTGAGGAGCTTGCAGTCTCCCCAAATGCAGAGCCTCAACCATCGCCCTCTATACTCAGGTTGGCTGTTCCTTCGTGAGCCTCTGACCCCACATGGCCCGTTTACCTCGGAAACCGAGTTTTGGGATTATCTCTCGCTCAAGTTAACCAAATTACCCAAGGAGGCATTAGCGAGATTGAGAACACGTCTCCCTCCATCAGCTCCGTATACGTTTACACACGGCGATTTAACCTTCTGCAATATTATCGTTAAGGACGGAAACCTGGCTGGGATTCTTGACTGGGAAGACGCGGGATACTTCCCGGTTTGGTGGGAATATGTAGCTGCGACCATTGGTTTGGGTGAAGGAGATGCGGAGTGGAAGGCCCTGTTACGAGGAAAGTTGGGTTATGATTGCCTCGAGGCAAAGAACTTTTGGCGAGATTTTTACTCTCTACATTTCTATCCGGACTTGGACGAGGCGGGTCAGCAGCTGCTAGAGACCTTGCTGGAGGACAGTAAGTAATGTCCTCCGCAAACGCCAAATGCGAATGATGGATGTACTTAGTTTTAATTTGATAGCATAAATCTCAAAATTCCGGTTCGCGTAACTAGCACACACTGACCTAACTCCTGATTCGCAACCAGGGTCTTACTTTTGCGTGAGGTTACGATTGGACGCTGAGAGAAATATCAGGTAACTGCCCAGTCCATGTATATTGATGTTACGTCTTCCCCAAGCCATATATCTCTGCCCCACCAATTGCTCATCATGCATATGAAGACTGAGAATACTATTAATACCACATGCCATGGAAAACAAGAAACGTCTCTTCCACATGCCACCCCCTATGACGCTTGCCCCTCGTCTCAGCAGAATGTCGAGAATGCATGAGGGTTAAACTGCTCAGCCGATACTAGCACCCATCCATAGATTCCTGGACGCCCGACATGACTTTGGCTGAAAGGGAAAAGGAAGCCGTGACCCATGAATTTGAAATTTGATGTCAATTCTGACGCTACCGCAAGGTTGTTGGTAAGTACTAGTATTTTCGGTAACCTATATACTACACATATGGAACCAGCTTGGATTCATACCTTTGCCACGAAGGGCAGGTTCGCACCACAGTAGGCACATTTCATAGCTCCCGTCATATTATTGTGCCCACATTTACGGCAGTTCATTGTTGCGGTTGTAGTTTCTTGGAGGTAGGAAACGGGAGAGTGTGCTCCGTGGTGATTTGTATAGTTAGCGATTGATGGTTTGGTGGAGCGAGTTGGCAATGATATTGTTTTTGCAGAGTGGTGGTGGAGGAAACAAAAAATATATAGGTTAACTAGACAAAGACTTCTCTTTTATAATATACCAAGGAGTTTACCCAACCCTCCTCTCATTTTGCTCAACGGGATCTCTTTCTAACGAAGGGGAGACAAACAATTGAGACTGCTGCAGGTTTCATTTCGTATAAGGGCGCCTTGCAGGAGTCAAGGTTTCTGTCCAATAACAATCATAGTGCTTCAAGTTAGATGCCAGTCCATGCGACATTTGTCACTACAGTCCGCCGTCAAAATGGCAGCCAAAGGAATATGTCATGGCCTATTGACACACGCTGCCGGCGGTTCGTCGCTGGCAAACCTACAAAGTAAAAAGTTCCTTGATATGCTAACGCAAGACCAAACGCATGGTTTGCATAGTTAAGCTACTAGTACTAGTAACTAAGTAACTAGTTAACCAATGGCAAAGTGGCATCAGCGCAAAAACGCTAACTAACTTACTAGTTCACTGATCCTCGCAGACACAAATGTGTAAACGCGAATATACGAGCGGACACCAACAGAAGGCTAACCTTCGACAATCCGTCAGATTGCAACGGGAAGCCTGGGTGACTGTGGTAGGAATCCAATTTTCAACATGGCGGCGTCACCAGCAAGAGATGAGTCAAGGTCAAGTTATTCCCTGCCCTCAGCTTCGCCTCAGAGGGCTCCTCGAGCTGTCAAGTTTCTCCCAGAGACTCACGCTGTTCCCATTGAAAGCTCCTGGAACACCAGCGGACTTTGTCAAGTAAGGATGGAAGAGAAATTGTTCCAGACCTTCCCTGGCGACCGAGTCACAGATTCCATGCTTGGTGAGGCCGCAAAACTCTTTAACGAGAACTACGGTATCTGGGGGAAGCTCTCACACAGCCCAGGTAAGTATGATGCTATGTCCTGCATTATTCCAGCTGACGCTCCCTCAAAGGAAAACCCGTCCGGCTCAGCGCGCATCGTCTGCGGGAGCAATACTTGCCCGACCACGCTACTACAAGCTACGTGCGGGTGGCCGTGGATGGGAATCTTGCTGGAAATGCTTTCGCGTGCCGTTGGAAACACGGTGGGAAGAACATCTGCTGGGTTACTCAGTTGGTTGTTGACCGTAGATTCCGTGAGCGTGGACTTGCGACCGCACTGTTGAGGTTCATTTGTGCCGATACGGATGATATGTACGGCATCATGAGCTCGCATCCGGCTGCGTGCATGGCAGCCGCGTCATCTTACGGGAGTAAGCATTCCCTTCTTCCCTCATTCCTATAGCAAGAAGTACGTGGGTTCTGATTCTAGTAGGGGGTATCGAAAAAGCGCCGTTGGGTTTAGTCGAAGCGAACGCCAAAGCAGTCTTGGAAGCTTCGCCAATACCTTATATAAAAAATGCAAGGTTGTGCGGCTCCCTCTTCAATCCCGAAGATTCAACAGGGCTCGTTTGCGGGGTCGACACTGGATTCTTTGTGGATCACAAGGAAACCCTGGAGGTTGTAGAAGTGGTCCGTCAAGATTTGCAGTGGCCACTCGGGGATTTGCCAGAGGACCATGAATATCTCTTGATTCTGCCCGGCAAAAAACGCAGATCGAGGTCGTCCTCGTCATCCCAATCCAAGGGAGACGTTATACCGACCCACTAGGTGGCTTACTGCTGATGAAGGATTAACCGTTAGCAAACGCAGACTATATTATTATGGGCATCAACTGGAGATAGCTTCCGTTCTTTTCATTTTCGAGAACGCGATAAGTGGTCAAGAATCGACTTGTTTTTCAAATGGATCCATAAGAGCCTGTGCCCACTGTTGGGTATCCCAACCAGCGTAGATCGTATTCTAATCACGCCCATAGTGGAGGAGATATGGAAGTACCGATGCTCGGAATCAGATCTCAACCCCTTTCCTGCTCAACACCTGCATCTCATTCCAATGTCACCAAATTTGTATCGTTACAATGATAAAAGCAGTGAAAATTGCACAATCATTCAAAATACGCTCATTGTTATTCTAAAAGTGAAATGGTAATATCAGTGTAAAAAATCATAACCGAGCAAAGAGACATCGTGTTGGCCAAGATTGCTGAATGACGGAATTCGGGATTTCCTATGAGTCAGTATTTTATCATAAATCATTATATTGGCGATCTGTATCATTTATTTTCTCGGAAATATAATAATTCGATAGTACCAGTAGACATGAGAGACGTGAATCATCGAAAGGCGAAGGGAAAAGCAGAGAAAGACCCTTTGTGTAAATAACCAACCTCTCATGTATTGAAATCTGAACACTGCCTCGCTTGTATGTATAATCGCGCATTCCCTTCCATATGAATACTACCATTTTTTAACATGTAATTATTGGGAAGATCATAGTGAATTCAATTAAATTTTGATACCCAGTATTGGGGCAATATTCGGACGTTTAAATCGTTCTGGCAATATATATATATAACACTAATTATTTGCCTACCTCTTTTCCCTCACAGAGAGCTCTTTGGCCGGTTCGGGAGGGCTGAGAATCCATTTCAGAACATCAACGACAACGTTCTTGTCATAGTTGTCCTCAGCGAGGTTCGTATCTAGCCCTCATCATCAAGCAGTAATAAAGCATACTAATACCCTAACCCTACGCGGTAGATTGTTTTGTTCGCGCGAGTGACGGGGCAACAACACCCGTGATACTTCGACGCGTGCGAGGTCACCAGTTATCCATTTACCACTGAGATAACTCCGCCAAAAGGATCGATCCTTAGGGTGGGGGAAACCCCATCTTAAGAGGTATTTGCATGCTTTTATCTATTTCACATCTGTTTCTCCAAACACTCATACTACCTGCAGATACCTACAAGTTCCTGCAAGTTCCCTCTTGTCAGAAAGATGAGACTGATGCAGAAACAAAAATTGCAGCATCTCGATACGATAGCGGATGCCCGTTGCGCCTGCTTCTCAGATCAAGCCTTAGTATATCAATAGTAAACAAAATGAAGACACGCCTGCATCCCGAGTGCCTCCCCTATCGGGCAGCTGGCATCCAGGTGAGTCGTTGCTGCCGCTGCCGCTGTTCTGGTATTGCTTTCCTCCCCTAAGTTTACAAAACAACAGGATGCTGTTCTTGTTTGTTTATAAATATCCTTCATTCCATCAGATCACTTCTTCCAACGAATCGACCCGTTCTGCAGCTCCAATGCTTACTTGATACGTTGTATTTCGAAGCTCCAGCTCAAAGACTCTAATAATAAAATGGAACAGACTCAGCAGAACCTGGCACAGCCAGACTTCCACCTTCTTACAGATGCTACGCAGACCGTAGTACACCAACTTTCCCTTCTCCCAAATATACCGATCATGAACATGCAGAACCAGCTTGATCAAGTCATGGGCATGCTGCGGGGGATTGATCAACATCTCCACCGAATTGACGCGCGAATGGATCAATTGGATGCGCGCATGGATCGGCTCGACACGCGCATGGATCAACTCAACACTTGTATAGACGAGGTTGATGCTCGCATGAATCTGATGGCTGCGAACGTACTAGCCACGTAAGCCCCCTTTTCCTCTTCAAATTCTTCCCTTTTTTTTTGGTTTTTTTTGTTTTTTGAAAATGGCTAAGATGATTTCTAGCAATCGCAACTCGATCGCGCGGAGCATCCATTCCACGATCAATAGAGATAACCTTGCTCTTGTTCCGCTAGTCAACCAACGGAATGAGGAAATTCACGGCTTTCCAAGAAATCTAGCTGCATTAAATCGGCTGACAGGTGTGGAGGGTTTATCTACTCTGATTTTAGACAGCAATTCTAATCATGCTTGATCAGGTCGGCAACTGGATATTTTGCTGCGGGAGTTTGATATTCCAAACATTGGAGACATTGAGGAACGCCGCAATCAGCTTCGGCAGATCTGCGGAGTGCCACCTCGTTTTTAATAGTGAGTGATGGAATTGTGTATCTTGTTATATTATGTGTTTGAGGGTTCCTTTTAACTTTGTATCGGTGGGGATTCTGCCTATGTGACCATTTCAGGGTGGGGGACTGAGAGGGCGAAAATATATGTTTATATTCATGAGAGAAGATGCAAGTGAAAGAGGATGGGAGACCACAATTTGATAGCCGACCGCCCTTTCCCAATATCACGATTACGCGTATGTGTATGTGGTTGAACTAGGAAAGAACAATTCAAGAAACGAGTCGAAGCGCCAAGCAATCTGAATTATAATATCACGTGACTTATTTGCGTCACGCTTATTTTTGAGCCCTCCAAGGTTCCTGATTTCGATTCCCATGAGACACTCCAGCCCAACTCAGGCGAGCAGACAAGTGGGAAGAAACCAACAATGGCGCTTCCGTCGAACCTTCCCTCCAAACGCCCTTCCTTTCTGCTTGCATCATACTCTGCCCCCTCCACCTCCCAAGCCCAACCCGAACGAACACACACTTTCTCCCATCCACTTTCAACATCCTTATCCCGCAGTCTGGACAACTCTAGTACCACGGCAGCGAAGACAGCGTATCTCTCTGAGCTACGTGGGGCCGTGAGTGCATTGCAAACTGAGATAAATGAGTTCCTGACCGCCCGCATGGACGAAGACAATAATATCAATCGACAAGCATCTGGCAGTGTGAACATGGCCCAGACTGAAAGAGAACGGAGAGAAGAGGAGAATTACGGGGAGGAAGTTTTGGATGATGAGGATTGATTCTTGAGGAAACACAGCATATCCGCCCCGCATTCACGATATTTTAGTCACGCCCCCACACCGTTGACCGAGAACTTGCGTCGTTTAAGCGATCTTACTCTGCCCCCCCACCGTTTCCTCCCGTCGTTGGCTTTTAATGCCTATGGATATGGAGTATGTATTACTCATGGATGCATTTGCCATTGAGAAAATGCTAGTCACTACGCATCTTCAAATGAACAACGAATATAGAGTGAATTGCACGATGATGGGCCAGGGGGGACCGAATAAAATGGTTAGGAGAGCTCATCGAAGGAGTGGACTACAGAGGTGCACGCGCATGAATTCCATTCAAACCTGAAGCTGGAAGGGATGCAATGGGAAGGGAAGGAAAGTGGAGAACAGAGGGCCAAACATACAAAATACCATTGTGGGCGCTAAGTTTTATATGCCGAAAATGTTTAAAAAAAAAAACGTGGAGTTATAGAAAAGTTCCAATGATTGTGATAGTATAGTGGGGGCCCGGGGGGATGTTGTTCTATTTCCAGTGTATGCGTCCACCTATGATGCAGCAGTAGTGCTCCATTTACCAGCGCAACCAAGATGTACAACAGTATTACTATTCAAAGAAGAATTATTAGCCAGGGATGTCCTCCAAAAACCTGTGTCAGAAGGGTGTGGAATAATGGGACAAAGGAACAGCATACTTTGGGAAAACGCTAATCACGCTTCCTCCCAATCGTTTATGGCATACACCACACACCCTTTCCTCGCTAATTGTCACGAAGCGATTCCGACCCTTATTATGCCCCTTCACGATTTCCCCCCCAAGCTGTAAATTCGCCTGGACCGCTACATTCTGTACCTTGCGTAACGCAGTGACAATCCGGCTTTCATTAGCGACTGAATTAGCCGCCCTTATGCGGCCGCGGAAGTAGAATTCTAGGTCATGCACAGGGAATGTTTCCGGTATTAGTTCGAGGGTGGAACCAGCGGGGAGACGAGAACCGTGCCTGGCAAGGATTTCTATGGCGGGACCGTATTGGGGTTTATAATCGTGCGGTGGGGAGAGGTAAAGGGACAGAAGGGTGTGATAAATGGATGGATGGCCGTCTTCGTTGTCTGTGGGAGAGACACGTTTCGTTGCGGCCGTATCTGTGGTCCGAGTTTCCTCATTACGGTGGATATAGTTGCAGTATCTGGCCGTGCTGATTAGCCACTAGGGCAGAATGAATTTGGGAAGAGAAAGGGGCTAATTAGTATATCGGACTTACTCTTCAGCTTTGTCCGGACTCTCTAGTTTGAATACATAAATCTCTAGTGCTTGTCTATGTTGACCCATCTTGCTAAAAATGATCGCTCGAGCCTCGAAAAACTCAGGATCTACCTCGTTTGGTTAGCCAATGCTGCTGAAAACACGGAGTTGCAAATGCGTAGCGAACGACAACTCACCTTCTCTAGGCAGTCGGTCCAGCATCTTAGCCGGCGAGTACTGCCCACTGCCCTTCAACATATCTAAAAACTTCCGTCTACAATCCGTCCACTCCTCTTCACTTTCAAACTCCTGCTGTGCACTAACGTCACCCGCTTTCCACCGTTTGAGCCGATCCAAATATAACGAGAGTAGGCGCTGATGCAAGTCAGGCGACATTTCGTTCAACTCGCCAATGACATGTTCCAGATACCGGATAGCAAGTTTGGAGTCAATGCTCTGGAGGAATTCGAGGACCTTATCACGCTGTAGTGTTTCCGCATTCTCTGTATCTGCCAGGAAAATCTCCATTCCCAGTTCCGGCCGCGCCCTCACGGGCCATTCGGCAAATTCCAAGATTAAATCGATCATTTCTGGCGGGAGATTTTGCAGATATGCGACAGTGCGTTCTGGACAGCGCAGTTGTGAGGCGAAGACGGTTTTTTGTGTTTCGTCCGTCTCGGCCTGGCCAAATTTCTGTAGCAGTTCAAGGGCAGGGCGGTGCATCTTTTTACCAAAGAGGAAGTCGATAAGATCGTTGTAACGCCCGGTTTCTTCGAGTTTTTCCATTACAACGTCCGGGTCACAGAAATTGGCGATGCGGAAAAGGGATCCGGCTAGGGACGGTGTTGCAAACATGTGGGCGCGGAAGAGGGTTGTATCAACCAGTGTAGCTGTCTCGCGAAGTTTCCGTGCAACATCGTCTGAGCTATCGTCCGGAGACAGACCTACTACGTTCCTGACCGACTGGCTGAAGTCATCGGTTTCATTGGCAACTTGTAAAGCTAGGTCGGTGACGGTTCCATCCGGATTAAGAAATCGCTGCAATCTCCGCCGAATGTCTGCGAGAAATCCCTGGAGCGCGTGTGCAGCGGTTTTTAAGTCTTTCCCTTCTACGGGACTATTAGTATCATATTCGGATATGTAGGAAAGGGTGACTGGATCTCATACCCAAGGGATTGTCCACGGGTTTCACATCAGCGGGCTTTCCACGGATACTGCTTGTCTCGCTAACATCTTCGGACTTCCCCCTCAAAAGAGATCTCACAGAGGATGCATATCCTGCAGGAGCCTTTGCCCTTGCTAAACTCTCTGCTACAGCCTCTATACTGTTAGACGTAGTACCATTCGTTTTATGGGAGGTTTGGTCATCGGCGTCTGACGCTTCCTCTTCAACTTTCTCCTCATCGAAGGTAGAGAGTGGCCCAGCAATGACTTTTGGATACTTGCGAATGACCATCTCGGGAGAAGCACATGCATCTGTAAATAAATCTAACGAATCACGGTACCTCCGCTTGTCAAATAGAGTTTGCGCCTTCTGTAGTTTGGCTTCTCGAAGCCTGCCCGCTTTATCTTTAAGCAGCGCGTCTTCGAGCATACTGATTAGGCTTATGGCTTCATCCAAATGCGCTTGTTCGATAAGTGAATCGATTTGCGAGTCGTAGTCCAACGCAGCCATTCGCCAGATGATGCGCTCGCTACCAACCAGAAAGCCTTTCCCTGCATGGGCTAGGCTTATTGTGGGTTGGGGTATGTGAAGCATGCTTGCTGAAGGGAGAGAAATGGATTGAAGCAAAGACAAGGTTTCTGGATTGCGGACTTCCAATGTTCCCTTTGAAGGCTCTTGCAATGCTAAGAGGTATGGATATGAGTAACCCACGGCCTCCGGGCTTGTGGTCCAAGGGATTTGCCTCCTTCCCAAGGACTCGCCATCGGTATCGACGAAATGAGTATTGACATCCTTAGCTAACAGTATTTCCCCATCTCCCAATCGTGTTGCTAGAGGTTTCGGCGCGGCACCTCCCATGCCAATGTAGCTCATACTTGCAACACCCACACCTCCAAGTCGGCCTGTGTCCTGTCCACCAGGCCCGCCGATACTTCCTGGGCCCACGATATCCGTTACCTTGGAAGATTCCACATCGACCATCACATAGCTTGAATTTAGGCCCACAATGAGTTTGGTACCCGTGGCCCAATTTAAAGTCTTAATCCCACTTGCTAGTGTGATCTCCTTTGTATCATCTTCCAGTTCCATATCTAGCCACATCCACAGCATCAGTTTTCTCTTAACAGCCACAGCAAGTCGAGACACAATCGATGGTACAGAGGTACTAGGGTCCTTTACGATATTCGATGTAACTGCAAACGCAGATGCCCCTTTTGTTTTCGCTAACTGTTGCTGCAGCTCATAGGTTTGGAGGTCGTGGATAGAAACATATCCGTTCGATAACGAAATCAGAATGCCCGCCTCTTTGATGATGGCCAATTGCTCTATTTTATATCGCGAAAACTTTTCCTGCTCGCGAAGTAGGTCTGTGGGTTTCACGTTCGGTAGATCCACATTCTCCACAGCGGCTCTATTCACATCCATATCCCCTCTTCCGTCCCCATTTTCTTGCTCCCTCACCCCACCTATGCGAGATCCCTCACTGCCGCTATGCTCACGATTCAACTCATTGATGCGATATATTCGGAGGGTTCCCGTATTTAGCCCGACAAGTAGCCGGTCACCGTATGCTAAGAATGACTCGATCTTCGATTTGTCGCGCTGCTTGAGCTGGACGAGAGGGTGGGCCGTGAAGGCCGACAACATTGCTTTCTGGTGCTATCGCTGGAGCTGCGGGGATGAATGTTGAAAACCCCGTTCTGGTTCTGACTGCCGTAGCTGATGCAAGTTGTGGAAGCTCGGTGTCGGGAAGATTTACTTGACCACTTGACGTATAGTTCACATTCCGGCAGTTTCGCCAGCTCGGAAACCAGTGGAACAGCGCCTCACGTCCATGGAGATGAATGAGTGTGCCGAGATACGCCGCCTCCCATTACTATCAAAGGTTGGGTTTTCATGACAGAATTGGTGAGTTTGGGTCGTGGTTGATCTCAGATGACGCAGATCAGTTTCGCCGATGTTAGTCAGCATATTTTAGTCGCAGAGCAACTTGTGTCGACAAGTGACAACCAGGACAGAGATAACTAGCGGAGTTGACGACACCAGCAGGGCTGGATCTTCAATTCTGAAAGGCGCAAAAAAAAAAAAAAAACTACTCGCAAATCACACATAATGTCGCTTGTTCATTTTATCACCCTGTCAGCGGCTATCCAAGAGTTCGTCAACTGATATAGTATTGTATCTGCCATAAAATGTCAAATCACCTTCAAGGGATCTATTGGAAACGTAATACAGTCACATTTTTTTTTAAAAAAAAAAATAAAATAAAATAAAGAATCAAGTGGAGACGCCTCGCACGCCCACTTGCACCCGTGCATGTCCAAGCCAGGCCTATCGCTGTGATGTCTATCTAGAGAGAAAACCATCTTCCCATGGACGCTTTTTGATTCTATCAGCCATATTCCGCGCCCAAAACTTCTGAGTTTGAGTCTACCAAACCGCCAAAAAAAAAAAAAAAAAAAAAAAAAAAGCCCTCGCTGAGAAATGCAGACGTTACATTTTTGGTGAGAAATATGTATGTGATGCATTAGTTGTGTTGTTAAGGTGAGGAAAAGGTAAGGGTGGGTGGGAAGGGAGAGAGCGGAGAGTTTCAATGTTTGGAGGCGAGAGATCGTTCTTGGTTGATGGGGACGGAGGGCGCTTGTTTGTAAGACGAAATGGCGGTCTGAGTCCCCATGAGGTAAAATGAAAATGAAAAATCGGTAAGGATTCGATTTATGAAAAATGCTACCCAGAAACGAAAGAAAGCCTTATTGCTGCTCATCCGGTGTCTGGTGCTTCGCAGAGGAGCCCTTACCCCGCCATGTCGAGACAGCCGGGATATTAGCCTTAAAGCGCTTTTCTTCCGTCCCGTACGCGCCGGGCGTTAGTTTGATAAGCGTGTGCAGGGGGACCTCCATCCACGGACTTTGTTCCTGCGACATATTCAAGAAGTAGGAGTAGATGCAACGAAGGACGGCCTGGTGGGTGACAATGATGACATTCTCGCTTCGCTCCAGCTCCATGATGATGGGCTCAAGCCGGATGACGACGTCCCGGTACGACTCGCCGCCGCGATAGCGGTAGTTGTATTTATCGTCGTCCCGAGCTTTGAAATCTTCCGGGTACCTTTCCGCAATTTCTTCGTAGGTCAGCCCATCGCAGACGCCCGAGTCAAGTTCATCTAGAGCCTTCCATTCTAGTTTATCATATCCGGTTTCTGTGGCCAGATGGCGCGCCGTCTGGATGGTGCGCTTCAATGTGGATGTCCAAATGACAAGTTTAGCTCCGGGAGGAACACCAGACTCTTTGAGAAGACGTGGAAGAGCACGCGCATACTGCTCTCCACGTGACGAAATATCGGCATCGCCACCGATTTTGCCTAGAAGGTTGAATTCAGACTCTCCATGCTAGAATGGGAGATGTTAGTAACTTCTCTCTGTAAGAGCGGCCATGAATAACTTTTAGAATAGACGTACTCGAGAAAGCCAGATCGAGCGCGGTCTAATATGGAGGTTTTGAATATAATAGACCAAACGACTGGATAAGTAATCCTTGATATGATTGATGATTACAGTGGAGCCCACATTTATGAGCTTGACATAGGCATAATTTTTCTCATCCTCATCGATTGTCTGATACACTTTTTCGTAGTTACGAATGCGATTTCTGAAATCTTGCGCAGCCAGTTCTGGGTCCTGGCCCACATAGTCTGGCGATGATGTTTTGACTTCGAGAATGTTGTTCATGATCAGGTCTTCGTCGTCGCATTTCGATTCAACGAACAGGGCTTCGATTCCTGCATTCCTGCATGTTCTGTATATCCATTGTCGACGGCTTTTTGTAGAATTAGTAGCATCTAATATTGCTACCTGTCCATCAGTTTCAGCAAACCAGCGTAACATATCCTTCACTGCCGCTTCCGCAGCGGCCCGTCGTAACCTTTCTCCGTCTGGATTAGATGTGTCAAAGAAGGCAGCGGTTGGTCGTGGAGTGTCCATTCGTCTGTACTGGCCAACGTTAAATATTCTCGCGGGAATCCCGACCCAAGCTAAGTAGCGCAAGGCTGATTGGTGTTAGCGAAGTATACAGGGAATGGAGAGTGTCCATCGTGAGCCTGTGCAGGTGGGTTGACCAACCTTTACCAGCTATTAGACTCTTGCCACGGGCCGGTAATCCAACCATCACAACGCATATCCTTGAGTCATCGCTCTGCAATGAATAAGTGTTAGCTTTGTAAGACGAAAGAAATATTGATATAGTAATGTGCGACTCGAGTCCGAATTCGTGAAGTGATAGGTCATCGCGTTATTGAAAAAACTTAGCAAGCAAAAAGAAATATAAAACGGGATTTAGAGGATGATGAACCAAGGTTAATCGAATTACAATCCGGGACCAGGATGACGGAGCACAGGTATAGATGGAAATAGCAGAAAAGTCCTGAATCGTAATAAATGCAGAGAGTCCGAAGGTAGAAAGCACTTGACGGTTGAAAAGTGGAGCATTGCACGTATCTTGAAATGCATTGATGTCTGGGGAAAAGATCGGAATCCAACCCATTCAGCCAGGAGCTCGAAGTTGCTCTACAGCCATAGGGGTTTGAGAGAGTGGCATTTGTTTTTCACAGGTCAAAGTCCATAAGCAGTGATGCCTGTAAAATCAAAAATACCAAAGGCGATGCGACGGGCGGATAATCGCATTGAGAATGAATCATATGCCTTCATATGTTTCATGAAGCCAACTGTGATTTTTGTTTCCTGTCAAACGGCGTGTGATTCGATGATTGATCAACGACCAGGACGCGAGAGGAGATATACATGATCGTCCAGGGCATATATATCATATCGCCCGCACGAACCACTGCTATGGGGACCAGAAACTGCCAAGCTCACCAAAGTATTAACTCCAGTCTACATAACCAAAGCAAATCAGACAGCACTTTTCAGAGATGATCCCTGTTTCAACCCTGTAGTCTTTTCCGATCCTGAGATACATTCGCTGAAGAAGAGTCATGGGTAACTTGGTTCCTCAAGACTCATCAGCCGCGATGAAACGGCTTAAAGTCTCCAAACCGCCCGTGGAGAGGGTAATTCGAGCCAGGTGCTTTAGGACGAAAGCGTCGGATGCGCGACGACCATTTCTTAAAATGATATATTCTTGTCCATCGCACAAGCTGCCGAACCATCCCATAGGCGCAGGCATCTTGAGCGCCAGCTCCCGGTATCAAGGGGGCAAATAAAGCTTGTACGGCGCAACAGAATACTAGTATTCTCATCCTGGTCCCAGATTCTCGTCACGGGCAAGAAAAATTGTCGATATAAGCGGGTGACAGGCTGTCATCGACTGCCGTACGACAAAGGACGCGCAGAGCGACGAGTTGGCAGGGCGACATGGGGTTTTGGACCCTCACCTGGGCCAGGCCCAATTGGAGAGAATGAAAAATGCGCCCCTTTTGCAGCCAACACAGTGACTCAAAAACACGCATGGTCCAAGCCATATCTATATCCACATATTCTGCTCTCGCTGAGGCTTCAAAGGAGCTCTCGCCGCGATGAAAAGGGACAACATATTTCATATGGGTGTGTGGCTTTGGGTGCAGTCGGCAGAACCCGCATGGTCATGTGCTCTCCTTCCGAATCCATCCTGACACGCCATAAGAGAAAAGTTCATGAACAAGATAGAAGAAACAGCGGTTGGTATAAGAGCAAAGAAAAGGGAAGTGGAAATAACGATAGCGATAGCAATACTGATGATCAATGGCAGATAATAAATAAATAGGCAGTAACAGAACAACTCAATGGCAGGGGTACTAGTCGTAGTAGTTAAGAGGGGGTGAGGAGAAAACTGTGCTGCCCAACTCACCGAGGCAGAGAAGATCTTGGTAGTCGATGGTCGACGACCAGATAACCCAAATGACATGATGCTGCGATTTAGTCGCTATCGATGGTGATTAAGGGGATTCAAAGCTTGCAGCACCGTAACCCCAGGTACTAGTATGCAATTGCTAGTATCATCGGAGGGCCGGAAGGAGTTGGGCAAAAATTGTTAGGTACTAGTAGTGTGTGCGATTCGCACCTCGTTAGCTGCGGTGAAAATAAATGAATACTACAGGAGGAGTATATATAGTAATCAATTCGTCCGCCCAGTTTGCTGCTCGTTCAGTTCAGTCAGTTCAGTTCTCGAAGGAATCGAAAGAGGGCCAGTTCGAAACCGTGCGTTGTGGTGTGGCGGGTGGGTGGCTTAGACTCTAGCGAGAAAATACTAAACTACGATTTAACACTAAATTAATTGGATGAGTAAGGAGTGCTATCTACAACCGGTGATGCAATGGCTAAAAAGCAATCGAACACGAAAGTAAAGGCAAAGGACAGAAGCAGACGGAAAAGATATGGTGCAAAATAGCACCTAATGGCTGGCTTGCTATAACCCATCGAACACGGTTAAATGTTAAAACACCCTAACTCCAGCGTATGGCGAATTTCCCCTGGTATGGTTCCCTACTGCGCTCGTTGACTTGTTTGAAATAGGCGTACAATTCCTTCATGCTCTTAGAAATAATAATAGCAACAATTCCACGGCCCCAAACAATTAAGATCATATTCCTCCCATCGCCCCTGGTAAAACACTCGGATCCCTATGTCACAAGATTGTGTCGTCTCAAGGCCCGAATAAGGAATCCAAGGAGGACCATCCGAAAAGTTCGGTTATGGTTGGAGGCGTAGCCAGATTCCGTGAACTAAGTCCCTCTCGCCAGGATGGGACCCTCAGGTTTTTCATTTACACCAGTGAGTCGAATATAAACATTGCATTCCAATCAAAAAGTGCGACGTCTGGTGTAATAGTGGAGTATTTCATCGCTTGCTTTGATAACCAATAACCATTTTCGACAAAATTAGTCCGGTTCGGGTTTTCCATGGCGGTTCTCAGTTTTGATGCAGCGTTGCCCGACTCGTCAATCCTGGGCTAAAATCATCCGAACGTAGGACCTTTGTGTTTTTAACTTCGAGAATGGCGGATGTCGAGGGTCTGGTTGCCGCTGCGATACACCCATCGCAAATCAGTTCGACAATCGCGACTTGAAGCCACTTCACCCCTGCAGTCAAGGATTCCGGAGGATAGAATTTCATTTGCCACGATATTGACAGGGTGGAGGAGATATAGTAATGCAGCCCGAAGGACATCAGCTTCTGTATGAAGAAAGTGGCCTGGTTCGGTCTGCGGCATGCGCTCCGCTAGGCGTTTAGAATTCAGTGCAAGCTTGCTCCGAGCATTGCTCAGGCGGCTGGGGCTTCCTGTGAATTTGTTGACTTCGCAGCGGAGGTAATTTTTCTGTAATTATCTTTAACGGGGGTAGATGGTAGGTTATCGAGCTGCAGCCTAAACGCCTCGAGAATAGTGGAGGGTGGCATGTTGAAAATTGGGGATCATAAATGCGAAAGCTGATAGTTTCTTGTGTCTTGCGGGGATCTCACCACTGGCCGTGGGCTTGGGGGATTTTACGTGACTGTCAAGGGGAATAAAATATGTGGGATGGTTATGTGTTATGGAACGTATATACGCGTAACCACGTGCGGCAGGGCTGCAGCCTGGGCAACATTGTTACAAAAAGCTCTCAGACCCGTATTGGGGGAAGGCACGCAGCCGGGAGTCGTTGGTTTGATGGGAGTGTATTGATAAGTGTGGCGGCTGAGGCATATATGTGCGGTGCGCTAGTCCGTGATAGGCAGCCTAGGGCCAACAAATAACACGCTAGTTACTAATTATGATTTTTCCGCTAACCACTCGTAGTTAATCAATCCTCCACTCCACTCCATCCATGATCATCATCATCATCATTCCAGCAACACTTCGAGGCAGCGGGGAGAAGAACCTACGCCTGGCATCTCCAGCGAAATGCCCATACGCATATACGAATAGCGATGCAATAATATCACTCTGGAACACGGTCCAATGCTACCTCCATTTCTCTCTCATCCATGATCATTCCTTTGGCTGCGATGTCCTGATCGATCATAGAAGCCGACTACCTGGCTTCAAGCTCTCATCGTTTGATTGCGCACCATGAGCAACCGCAGTCCCGTTCTCCGCCGTGCAGATGTGATCTTTCCCATGCCGCCAGAGTCCCCCAATCCTGTTGCTGCAAGCGATCACTTTGTACGGCCGGGTTCCTCCAGCAGCGATACCTCGTCTAATTCGTCCAATCTCACCTCTCTCAATTTGACCAAGCGCACCTTGTACGGGGTGAAACCTTCGATAACTAGCCCTCGAAAACTGTCAGCAAGCGCCAATAACAGTAACACTTCTCTTCCCAATTTTTCACGTCCATCAGCGCCTCACATGCCACCAAATGATCCATTATCCGAAAAAGCACTTCCTCTACCCCCACCTCCGGAATTCCAGAACCACAGACCGCGCCAGCACTCACAGGGTTTCTTTGAACCGTCTCTTCCCACTGCCTCATTATCCGAACAAACACCCGTTACTATGGCGAACTTGTCAGCCTCTCAAATAGCTGCCCAAGCTGCTATGCAACACCAGGCAAGTTCGCGCCACCTGCGGAATCGGTCACAGCCGAGTAGGCTTCCCCAGGATAATGTAGCAAGAAAGGGTTCCAAGGAGCACATCCATCACAGCCCTTCAGGACAGCAATACTCGAATGGGTTAGTTGGGGGACGTGCACTTGCGGCAACAACTGCTGCCAATGTTGCATTTCCCAGGAGTCCAGGCTTCGTGCCTTCGTCACCAAATGTCGATTATACCTCCTCAGAGAGTGGGCATAAGCAGAAGGGGGAGAAGTCTAAGATTAAAATATTTTCAAAACCGAAACATATTGGCCTATCAAGGGACAAGGATGGAGATAAAAACAAAGCTCTGCAGTCTCCTAATAATCATCTGCCCTTACCAGGCCCAAGTGGCCTGTCACGAATGGTGAATGCCTCCGCGTCTAGCCTTAACGAATCTTCCACTTCCGCCAACTCCTCGATATACAACCTAACAAATTCGTCTGCAACAACCGTGGTGCTTGCCGACCGACCGGCAGCAGGTGAAAGGGAGAAGGATAGGGATAAAGACAAGGCGCATAAACACCACTTTTTATCACGACAAAAGTTAAAGTTGAAAGACAAGGATGACCATTTCAACCTTTCCCTATCCTCAGCATCAAGCAATTCTAAACCCTTAGATCCTAGTGCTCCTCAGTCACTCTACTCCTTCACGCCACAATCGCCGTCGACGACGGCCTTCGCTAAATCGAAGAGTGGGCTTGACTTGCGTCATGGAGGTCGAGCGCTACGAGAGAAGAAAAAGGAAGAAAAAGCCTCTGCCGCCGCTGCCCATGAGATCGGACATCGAGACACAGATGAACGGACGATTAACGGAGCACTCGGCACTAGCTCGTCCTCTGTTTATGGCGGCCCTGGCAACACAGCTCCGAATGTATACGGCGGGGAGACTTCTTTAAAAGAAACTTTGCAAGGCTTTGGCCTCCATAACATGGCTCCAGAAGACGCATGGGACTTTCTAAAGGCAAAGCTTTTGGTTCTGTTCGAAGGGGAAGATGTTCGCGTTGCTCTAGAAGACCTGAACAAACTTGTTTCTATCCATATACAACAGTGCGTGATGAAACATATACCCTCTGTCGTAGTGGAGGATTTGCGGGACCTACTGCAAACTGGCTTTAGCTCCTTAAGTCACTCGCTTCATCCGGCTCCAGACGAGCGCGTTGTACCGCACCTCGTTGAGATGTGGGTTTTGGTATTTGGAGTGGTACTTCCCTTTATCCAAGCTGTCTTTCTTCCTTTAGACCTGGAGTTCAAAGGGCGCGGGTCGATCATGACTCCTCGCGAAGCAAAAGAGTTTTGGGGTGCATTACCCAACGGCGAATCCTCAAACAGGTCTATGGGCGATGAACTCGATGTCCGTACCATAGTGCTCATCTCCTTCCGCGACAACGTTATTATCCCCCGCTACGAAATGTTAAAAACAACCTTCTCGCGCCTCAGCCTTGAAAGCATCCATGTGAATGTCCGTGCTCTCAGCACGACTCCGACCAGTCGACCGAGCACCGCATCAGCCCTCGACTCCGGTTTTGGAAGCTACAACTCCCAATCCTCCACCCTCCTCAGCGCCGCTGGCAGTTTCTCCTCTGATTCCGTTGTCGCCTCCATGTCCCGCAGTCGCGCTGCATCCAACACCTCAAACCCCGAATATGTTTCCACATCGTCATATACATCCATGTCCCCACCACAGGGCTCCACCCTCAATCCAACCCTACAATCCCTCCCGTTACGCACTACTTCCACATCTGCAGATCCATCACATCTCATCACCGAAACTGCTGGCCGCATGCTCCAATGCATCAGTGTGCTAGCCAGTGTACAAACCGACGACGAAGCGCAGGAGAAGATTGATACCCTCAGTAAAGCTCTCAAGCACAACTGGCTTGGCCGGGGTCGGACCGGCCGGGACCGTCGAGGCTTTGTTGGCACCAAGATCCGCGCCGTAGTTCCCCGAAAGGAAAGTGATGATACACCGTCTCGTTTTCTCCCTTCTAGCAATGAGAGCGACAGTGGCGATGATTGAATGGAGGAGAGAAATTGTGTGGCCGTAGCATTTGGGAGTGGCTGTTTTAACCACACTTCTTTTCCTTTGTTTCCCTCTATACTCTTTATGTATTTGCTGCTGGGCAGCGTACGGGATATCTGGAGCGAAAGGTCCAATGAATAACGGAAATGACATGTATGGAAATATCATCTGGTTTTGTTTTGTTTGATTCTGACTTTGATATCTGGATGGGCGGGGTGGGGGGACAGGGGGTTGGGTTGTGTGTTTCAGTTGGTCCGGAGCATCTTTTCTCAGTTTTTTGACCTTGACCATATATATATCCTTTGCTTTGGCTGAGTGGGATCTGACATCTGTTTAGAATTTAGCAGGGGCCATCGGCCTCTACGGTTCTTCTTGTTGCCATTTAGTTTTTCTTCTTTTTTCTTTTCTTTTTTTTTTTTTTGATTTCTATGACTGTGTTTTATCACATGAATACCATACGGTCTGTTGGGGCCTGATGAACTGGTTATTTATCCGGACGTGACCTCTCTTGGGGGTTTTGTCTTTCATGTCATCGTTCAGCCCGTCATTTGGCTGGTCACCAAGATGCACATGCGCCCGGACGGAGGTTAACAGTGATTTCCTTTTATATATATATATATATATCGCTCGCTATCGCTTTTACCGTAAAGGGACGTATGGTTCCGTAGGTACACTACTTTCCAAAGTGGGAATTGTATATCCCATCCAGCGAGCTAATCAGTCAAATATTACTGACTTAAAACAATCGATATCCCACTCGTACATATACGTATCACACTACATTGTTGTTTCTAAAAGGCCCCAAACTCATTCCCCAAAATTCTTCTCCACTGCCATGGAACATCTTAAACAGCCATCTGTTGGGGGTGGGTTGGGGTGGGGTTCGGTAGCGAGTTTTAGGCTTTAGGGCTGTGAAGTTCTTTTGGTCTTTGCCGTGCAACATTGCGAAGTCAGGGGGAGATTTTTCGTCACTCATTATTTGGACTTTGCTTTCGGGCTGGGTTCCTTGGGGATTGCCGGGCATGCCGTATTTGTGTCTGAGATTGATGCATCGGGAATACATACTGCCTCTAATTGGGAGAGGTCGATGTTTAACAGCATAACAAATCCTTTTTTTTTTGCGCTTTTCTTAGAAAATCCAAGTGGGATGTTTTATTCTCAGAACAAGATGCTTGGGCTGAGTATGCATATTGTTTTCCTGATTAGACGAAACGGGAACTTCATCCATTGATACGTATCGAGATCGGCACGCGGTAGTGTTTCCTATATACTCTGTATTCACACCTGAGCTGCCGTATGTATCATCCCATGTCAATGTGCCAGGTGAATATAAAAAAGAACGGACATGTATCCCTTCTTAAAAATCCTGTTTCCAAGGTGCTGGAATTGGGTCATCCTCCCGTGCCCTAATGGCAAACGTCATGAGAGCGCTCACGTACGATAAATAACTAACCTGTCAAGACGTATATCAGTGGATAGACTTTGTAGAGAACGAGGAGAAGGTGCAGGTCATGGCGACCGGTAAAAATAACCGACAAGTAGTGACTGGTCCAACTTTAGCGGCGTCTATGCCGCAAGGGGATATCGGAGGTATGGAAATTCGAAGAGGGGAGAAGAGACCAGCATATAATGATAGAAAAGTTATGAAAGTGAATGTTCGAAGTAGAAGCCTAGGGGTCGAAAACAAGAGCATCGACATAAAATTGAGAAAGGGATACCAACCACAGGCAACTGTAGAATATCATCCGCGAACACACAGGGTGTATAGCTTGCCCCTTCTTATCCCCTCCATTTCTGAAGTGTTGTATGAACTTCACTGTTGGAGTGAAAGTGTACTGGCCTCTGCCACAAGCAGCTAGTTGTTCAGAAAGTGATGTGTTCTTGCTGAAACATGGAAAATAGCAAAATCTCAGTAGAAATTTGTTCCTACACAGATTACAAAATCACTGACACACAATTTAACTGTGCAAAGATTCTAAATCAGAACATTTCTGCAAGAGAAAGTGAGAGTTTGTAGACAGTTCACCCCCCTTTCTCAACAACCCAACAGAATCTACTTGTCTGGCTGTTCTGTTTTGTTTCTCTCTTCCACTGTCTCCTCTCTTGACCTTCCCTCCTCTTTGCTTCTTTGAGACTCCTCATCAACTCTCTTCAGGGATTGATCCTATCCCATTTTCTCTCTTACTCCCTCACTCTCTGCATCACTTCAACCACATCAATACTCCTTCAACTTTCCTGGGAGTTGTCTGAAGTCAGGTTGCTCCTCAGTCCTCCCGTTTCAATTACCAATATAGTCTCCTTTCTTCTTCCTTCACAAACAACCCCAACAACCCAACAACACTTCAGCCTGGCTGGTGCCTATCTACCACGACAGCTAGAAAGCTTGCTTGAGATAGCGCCGTGACAATAGAGAATCACTTCCGTAACCGAAGCATTCATTTCACGAAACAACACACAATGTCTAACTTCGCTTCCACCAATGATATCGAGGGCAATGATGAACTGAAGCTCGAATATTTTTCCGATGGCGAAACCAACGGCGATGAGATGAAGGTGATCAAACAAGAGGACCTTGAAAATGGGAATACCGCAAGTGGGAACGGCGAAAAGGTAAGTTTTTGCGTAATTGGATGCAAATGATCAACCCGACTCAATCAGTTTCAGAGAGTGTGCTCTGTCGCCACTGCACTCTGTCTTCACTTTTCTCTTTTGTGAAGAGCCTAGCTAACCCTTTCATCTCCCGTGGAAAGACCAAGACAAATGGGAAAGCCACTACCACCCCACGCAAGCGTGGTCGAAAGACAGCTACTGACAAGGCCAACGGCGATGGCGATGGCGAGGGCGAGGATGAATCTCCAACCAAGAAACAGCGCACTCCGGCTAAGGGCAGCAAAGGGGCCGCATCTGGGGAGAAGGCGAAGGTCGGCGCACGCGCCATGCCTACTTCATACGAGAATGCAAGCCCCGAAGACAGGATGCTGCTCCGCATGAAGGACGAGGAGAATAAATCCTGGGGCGAGATCCGCCAGGCGTGGGAAGAGATGACTGGGGAGAAGGTTGGAGGGAGCACTCTCTGTGGACGCTATGGTCGTATCAAGGCCAATTTTGTGGTCTTCACGCCAGAGGACGTACGTCTCATTACTCCTTAAACCCCTTGCTTTATTGTTCAATGGCACATGGTGCATAGTGCATGTAACCGGACCACAATGCAATTTTTCCTTGTTACTGATGGCGCTTTTCATATATACAGGAGGAGCGCCTGCTCCGCTTCAAGAGAGAGATCGAGGAGAAATTCGAAAACGACAAATGGCGTAGTGTTTCTGACGCCATTGGCGCCGCTGGTGGGAAAAAATACCCACCTGCCGCCGTCCAGAAGAGGTTCAAGGAATTGAATAAGAACATGTCCAGAATGGAAATTGGACTTAAGGAGGAGAACCACGCAGAGGACTCCGCCTAATTTTAACAACACGGCATCCCCCTTCCTCCAATGTTACTCCAGTCTATGAAATAGGCTGGTGATAGAATGGAAGCTTTGAAGGTGGTTCTTGATTTTTTTTCTTTTCTAGTAATTGCTTCTCGATTGCTTCCAGGCTGCAGCTTCGCGACTGGAGGTGTGAAGAGGATTCAATGACTATTTATTTGATGGATAGGTAGTTTTGTGCAATGGCCATCAGTGAAAATAGATCTTCTATCTTTTGTATTTCCTGGATGGTAAAAATGTCAATTGGAAAAGTTGTCTTTTCTTTTCTTTCTCTTCTCTTTTTTTTTTTCAACACCACTTGGCGGTGCTCTTCTCCCAATTAAAAAAAAGCAAAATGATAATATCCGTTCATTCGGCCTCCCGACTGGCCGTGACTCTCGAGCTGCCACCAACGCAAGAGAGCCAATTCGCCAACTGGGGACAAGGATGCCGTGTAATACAAGATGTCGACCTGGCGGCTGTTTTGGTAGTGCATGGGCCGAAACTTCACCGCCGCGCCCATTTGCTCCAGCCGACAAACTCCGTGCATGCAGCGGCAGGCCACACAATTGACCCGCATCTGATGCCGATCAGATTGGCTCTGGCATGGCCGAGAGCGCAGAAGAATCAAAGAAATTAGCCATACATACATTGCCAGCAAACCTGGAGCAACTTGTTCTTTACCCGGACACATCATATCGGTGTCAGTATCGCCTTGATTAAAAAAAAGTTCTAACAGAGGAAAATCGAGACAGTCAGTCGCCTAGAGTGTAGGATCCTCTGCTGTTCAGAAAAGAAACCAAGCTCGCATTCCATACATCGCATAAGTCACAGCACATTGTAAACGCGAATGGTATCTCGTGTGATCGCTTCTCTACAGACCAGTTCGGGAGTATAAACAACAGTTGGAGCCATCAGCACCCGTAAATACAGAGATAGGGGATATATGAAATAGGAATACGATTCCAGGCCAGCGGGATGGGGCGAATGTGTTCACACGAGATTCTCGAGGACTGTTGGGATCTTGCACAACATTAGTGTTGCAGTGCGCTTTGGGGGGTAACAAGATTTAAAGTGTGAGTCTGGCCATCTGCACATTGCTGGGGGAATGTGACAAGGCCATACCGCGAAGATATGGGAATACCGGTGTGAGAGAGGTGGAATTGTCCTTTTAACGTTGAACGATGAAGACAGCCGCCATTCCGCATTGGGCCAGCCCGAGAACAGCTTCAGTTAGCGGGAACTTGAGCTTGATCGGGATCTAGCAGACTGTGAGAATTACGAATTCTGAATGGAAGCAGAAGAAGGAAAGGAAACTTTTTCCCCCAGGTGCTGGCGGAAGAAGCATGAAGTAACTCCATGTCACCCCTTTGTACTCGCCAAGCGTATCCAGCGCACAGGTGTACCTCCATGTGACACGCTAGTACCTACCGACCTGTGCCTGCGAGCTCCATACCAAACGGGACATCGCAACCTTCGGATCGCCTCCAAGAAGCACCATCAAGCAGGTTTCGGGCTCCCCAGGCAGAGCGGGAGAGTTGGTTCCCCCCAAGGCGAGAGGCATGAGCCCATCCAAATGCCATCTCTGAATTGACTGCAGCCTCCTCCGTTCCCCTAAATGTGTGTCATTGGCTAGGCCTCACGCCTGATTCCAATTCTCCCGGCCGCTAAGACTTTAAAACGTGTGGAACTCGCTGGCGTTTGTCCACTCAGCGACGACCGAGCGCCACTCGCTGCGTTGCTGGCGGCACCACGACTCAAACGAGCTGGATTCCAGATCCTGGCAACCTGGCAAGCGACCAGCCCAGCTGCATGCGGGATTCGCCCTGTCCAGTCATCTCTGCTCCATCACATCCACCCTCAACTTGCCCAGTAAACCCCCGGTCGAGATACCGCCTGCCAGTGCCAGCTCTCCCCGACATTCCTCCTGCGTCCACCCCGGTTCCCGAATCGCTTCTTACCAGGCAACCATCGGCTCTGGGCTGGCTATCTTGGTGTCCCCGATTCCGCTTGACAATTCATCGCTCGTTCCATCGACGGAGGTTCCTTGTGCCTTGTTGGTGGCTGATGTCGTGGCTGCTGCCTCAGACCTTTGAAGGAAATATAAAAAATCGGTGCGTGGTCCCCTTCAAGAGAATGAAGCCCGGTTGTCTCATTCAGATCCAATTTTGTACTCCTTGGTCATCCTGAAATCTTCGGCCGTTGTTGTATCCATCCATTCACCCTTTTACTTGCCTCATTAACCCTTTTTGCCCTCACCGCTCTCCGCAAGTCTTTTCAGGTTAGATCCTTCGCCAACAATTTTCTATAATATGATTCCCAGATCCCGTTCCCTCTCCGTTGGTTGTTTAACTCACTACCTTAGAGACCTTTTTTTTTTCGGGATTTTAGTTTATCATAGTTCCCACGATCCGTTCGTCTTTCTTGCCTCTGACATCTGACAGATAGTCCTTTAGCTCTTGCTCTATAGATGCCGGTTCCTCCAACAGAAGAGTCATCCAGAAAGAACCCCGACCTATTATCCTCCCCAACTACTCGTACAACGCAGCAATCTAACTCTGACTCGGATTCCCGTGACCCCAGCACAACCCCCGTTTTCACTCCCTCCTCCCCTTCTCCCTCAGGCTCCCCGCGACAGACAGAGAATATCCAGGACGAGATACTTTTACACACAATGTCTGACCAGGTAGCGTCGTCGTCTGGCAAAACCGATGCTGCGCAGACTAAGCAAGATGTGGATGGTTCTCCAGAGACAAACGCAAAGACTGAATTGAAACTGTCTCCGGCGCCTCCAGACTCGGCTCCGAAGAAAACTTCCTGCAAAAAGCATACCAGCGTGAAAGCCAATGCTCAGAAGAAGCAAAAGGACAAGAAAAAATCAAAGAAAGCCAAGGATTCCTCAAGCAGTGATAGTGACGATTCTTCCTCGTCAAGCTCCAGTTCCTCGTGTTCGGACTCTTCAGATTCAGACTCAGAATCGTCCGACTCGGATTCTCATAAGAAGAAGAAGAAGCGTGCCAAAGAGAAGGAGAAGAAGAAGGCGAAGTCTCGGAAACAAGCTCCCTCTGACGATGACGAGTCGGAAAGCACTGAAGAGGAGTCGGAACCCGATGACAAACATACCAAGAAACAGAAAAAGGCCAAAACCAAAAAGAAGCCTAAGAAATCCCGAAAGACCCAGGAAGATGAATCTGAGGAAGAAAGTGATGTTGAGTCTTTGGAAGAGCAGCTTCGAGCTACCCAGCAGAAGCTAGCGGCTCTCCGCCTGAAGCAAAGTAAGTGTTGTCAACAAGGCTCTACCGCTCAGAGCAGAAACCCTCCCCCCCTCTCTCGGGTTGCTGGTTGCTAATTCTTACACAGGTTCACAACGTACTCAGCTGAAGAGCAAGTCCAAAAAACGAAAGCGTGCATCGAAAGTTGCCTTCAAGCGTGTGGATGAACGTAAGGACCCTATCTTCCCTACAACCCCCCAACGAATGCTTGGCGGCTACGTGCTGATAACTGTGTTATATCCAATGTAGTTTGGGATGACACCATACATAATTATAAGCTCACAGAAACTGTTGATGATCCTGACGCGAACGAATGGGACCAGTATATTTTTACCGTGCGTCGAAAATTCGACTGGGAGAATAAATACACCGACACAGTGGTAGACATCAAGAGCAAACCCCTCCGTGACGCTCTCGCGCACGTCATGGACGGTGTAAAGGGCGTTTCGTTAGTGCAGGAGACTCCTGTCGTTGATCCAAACATGCTGTTTTTGTACCTGGAAGAGTCTCGAGAGTACGTCAAGGAATTGAAGGCCCTTGCGAAATCGGAGAAGAAGAAGAAAGCCAAGCGACTAGCTGCGACTAAATCTGCTCACTTGAAGGTGCTAGTGAAATATCTCGACAACGACTACGCTGAAACGAAGAAAACCTTGTATCCCCTCCTAGAGTCGAACATGATTACCTTTGATCTTTTATGGGCCATTTTCAAGCCGAACACCAATGCATATACTCCAACTTATTCCAACCCCGACGAACCTCGTGCTTTCAAAATCGAATATGCTAGCAAGGAGAGCTCTTTCATGAAGGGACAGTGGTATGAAATTGAGGGACGATATCTCGAGTACGACGGCAAATCATTCGGGATGGGCACTATGTCGGTTGAAGTTGAATCATTCAAGGGATCCCGCAAGATTTCTAGCCTTGCTTGTTATCCATTGAAGTATCATCGAGACCCAGAAGGCTTGAAAGCGAAGCTTGTGGAACGCGGTAAAAAGTTCGTAGCCCTCCAGGGTGTGAACTACCGTTTCCACAAGGGCATGGCTTTCTACAAGAAGAAGCGATCGATTATCAAGGTCAATATCAATGGGCGTGTCATGGTTGATCCTGCCATCCACCGCCGAATCAATCCAAACTATCCCATCAGCACTGTGAAGCCAAAAGATCCGGACTTAGTCGACGAATCCGAGTATGAAAGCGGATCTGATGATTGTTGCTGTTGTACTGGGTCCGGATCCGAGTCAGAGCACGGATCGAAGGACGACAGTCCCAAAATGAGACTGAAATTAGTTAAAGATAAAGACGGTTCCCCACATATCGTCCAGGTTGAATGTGATGAGGACGGTGAGGAAATCGTCAACGAAGACCTCGACAAGATTGCCGGAAAGGACCAAGCGGGGGAGAAATTTGAATTTTCCGACGAGGAGCTGCTGATCGCCAGCCCTGTTGTTCTTGGGTTTGCTTTCAGCGAGAAATTGTGGTTGGAGTTCACCGTCTCCGGTATGAATGAGATCGAGTGGAATTCCGGTGCCTTCGACTCCCTGGTCCTTCCCGATAATCAGAAGTCGATCGTCAAAGCACTCGTAGAATCCCACACCTTCCACGCCGCTGAAAACATTGATGACGTGATCCAGGGTAAAGGCAAGGGTCTCGTAGCAGTCCTCCATGGCCCACCGGGAACGGGTAAAACTCTCACGGCAGAAGGCATTGCAGAACTTCTCAAACGCCCACTCTACATGGTTAGCGCTGGCGAACTAGGGACGGATTCACGAACCCTGGAAGGGGAGCTAAATAAAATTCTGGACATCGCACACTCATGGGGAGCCGTTCTACTCCTTGATGAGGCCGATGTATTCCTCGAGAAGCGCACCATCCACGATATCCACCGCAACGCGCTGGTCAGCATCTTTCTCCGCCTCCTCGAATACTTTCAAGGGATCTTGTTCCTGACGACCAATCGCGTCGAGACGTTTGATGATGCGTTCCAGTCACGGATTCACGTTGCGCTCCGATATGGCGACCTGACACAAAAGGCCAAGCGGACAGTATGGAAGATGTTCCTCGATAAAGTTAGAGTTAAGGAGGGCGTTGAGGTAGTCCCCTTCACGGAGGCGGACTACGACTCTTTATCCAGACGTAACTTGAACGGTCGACAGGTAAGATTTTATATCAATATTTATCTGTTTTTTAACTTATTAAGGTATCTGTACGTATCTAACTCTACCGCCTCGTTGGAAACAGATCAAAAATTCCGTCCGCACTGCTCAGGCTCTTGCCTTGAACGAGAAGACCCCACTCTCCATGGAACATATCGCCCGCGTCCTCGATGTAGCTGAGACGTTCGACCAGGATCTTAAAGGCGGAACTGGTTACATAGATGCCATGCGAAGCTATACATAAATATCTACTGGTTTTTTTTTTTGCCTTTCTCTTTTTTTTCAACCCTATCTTATACTCTGTGTCCTTTCTACCACTTCTTCGAATCAAATAATTAGTGAACTTTTTTCCATTTCTTTGCCGTTATTTCCGCTTCATCGGGTTTGTAACAACTAGTTTTACTTTCCTTTCCCCATATTCCTCCTCCTTATCTTATTTTCCCCCCGTGTTTTCATTCTAACTTTTATTCCGAAATATGTCTGATCAATTCAATTTCAAAGCGAATGGGAAAGATGGATTATCTATCTTTGGTGTTAATTTTCATTGAATTTTTTTCTTTCTTTTTTCACCATGATCATGATATGATGATGGCCCCTTCATTGCCCTTCCTGCTTTTCCCTAGTCTTGATTCATAGATCACATTAACTACTACTACATCTGGCCGGGTCCCTTCAGCCTTACAAGATCCCTTGTTTAATTTCCCCATCCATGATTGAACACCCTTCTCCGCTCCAAACCATTGAAACGATGAAGAATAAAAGAGAGAAGATAATCAGAGAATGCAAGACCGCAGATCTCGAAATTTTGGCTCTCATCTATTGAAGTCGAAGTTCCGATATTCCTTCTCCTGCCAAATAGCTTACCTCTGGCACGGTCTACCTGTCCACCTGCTTTGTTTTCCTCTCTTGAGGAGAGGAAATATATAAATTGGCATTTTCTCAGTAGCCGTCGTCACTTGTTTCTTGTCTTCTTTGTTACTCTTCTTCTTCAATCTTCCTTCGTCCCGCTGCTCTCTGCTCTCTGCTCTCTGCTCTCTGCTGCTTTTTTGATTTTGACCCATCTTTGATTCTCACCGCGCAGGACTAATTAATCCTCCTTTTATTGTATTTTATCACGCGAACACCTTGAATAATTTAGTACTTGAACTTCTTTTCAAGGTTAAAGATCTCCAATGCAACCTATACTTAATACATCCATCCTCTTCAATCTTTTTAATTTTCAGAAACCTGGCATCTAGTTATATATCTAATACATTTGGTGGTCCTGGCAGCATCGGAATAGAAATATTTTTATGTCTTTTGATAGATGTGGCCGCTGGCTTGGGGAGGCTTCTGGCAATCTAAGCCAGCATCTCGACTTCACTCGGAAAGCATACATATCTCGAATAGGAGAATACAACAGAATGCCCACCTTTGTTTAGCGTGGAGACTTGAAAACTCCCGCTTGAATTCGAGTACAGATCTATAAATACCGAGTCGCACCACGGCTGAGGAGAAGAAATAAGTTCTCCGAATACCGCCATCACGTATTGTTGGCTCGGAACCCTGGGTTAGGGTTAACAATGATATTAATTTACGGGATGACGTCATATCGAACTCCACTAAACATATCAACGGGTCATAGATACTAGTTCGGTAACAACCGCAGCCCAAGTTTTTTTGTAGCGAACATACAGAACTCGAGAAGGACTTGGTACTAGGGAAGGGCCGGGGAAGGCCCGGAAGTAATCGACTCAGAATATGTTCGAGGGATGATCGGTATAGTGGTACGATGCAGAGCTGCCACAATGCCAGACAGAACACATCTATACCCCCGCCTCCAAATCTTCTGTATGTTTATAATCTCTACACATCGACATATACCAATTAAATAATCGGACCTTGCATTGCTTAGTGATCCCTCTGGCTGCCTTAAAATTCATAGAGGCTGAGCAGGGGAATCCGAGCGAACCGTAGAAGGTTTTCCTCGCAGCTGATGGCCCCGGCCATACTGATCAAACCTAATGTCCAGCCCCCTCTCAGCTCTCACAGGGCCTTCAGAGCCACGGATGTGATCCCGGGAGAGTTGTTGAAGAGTTTCATCCGACATTTGCCCCAGCCACTGTGCTGACCTAGATCCGGTTGTGATACGCTTCGCCGAGATGAGCTCTCCCACCGTTGAGACAATGACTTGATGAGCATCATCGGCCGAGAGAACATCTTCGAATTCGTTGGAGTGCGCCTTTTTCGCTTGCTCAGCCGCCTCTGCGCAAATGGCCAGACACTGTCTGAGGCTATTTCTTTCTTCCTGAATTTGCTCCCACTCCGCTGTTTCCTCCACCTTGACTGTCTGCGACATCGCTTCCAGTCTGGCCTTCAGTCTTTCAGCGTGTTTCTCGAGATCTGAAGATGCGGTCAAAAGTTTCTGCTTGTACTCCTGGAGGATGCAGTTGATGACGTATTTGGACGAACCAGAATTGAAATTGCCAATTGTATCAATCCCCAAGGGTGGAATGAAGGCCGTGGGGTTTTCAGTCAAAATTTTGGGCTTGAGTTTGTCTATGTGCTCAAGGGCGTCTGTGCAGATTTGGAGACACTGTTGAGTACTATTCCTTTCCTCTTGGATTCGGCTCCACTGCACACTATCTTCATGCTCCATCTTGGCTCCCTTGGGAATAAATGAGTCAAGCTTGTTTTCAATGTCCTGAAGATGATCCTCAAGATCAGAGGTCGTGTTTGCTATCATATCTTTATACTCAATAAGGAAGGCGGCAGTATATTTTGATCTGCGACTACAAGCCATATCGTCAGCCTGATTGAAAGGGGGGGGAGGGGAGGAAGGGAGAAAGACACACAAAGTCGCATCCGCGATTGCAATATTAATCGTAGATTTGTATCCTGCCAACATCCATCTAAATCGCTCGATGTCTTCTCCCATGTATGTCAACTTTGCCCAATCTCGGAAGCTGGTCTTTGAACCCGCCGAATGCGTCACGCATTTGTTGATCACATCTTCGAATTCCTTGCAAGCTTTGCCGCAGCGAAGCAGTGGGAGACTGAGCCCAGCGAGTTCATCCCCATAGGTCACGACTGCTTCTTGAAGGGACTGTAAAATCCTATCAAGAGCCTCCAGCTCCTCCTTCAGCTCCCGAACTGCCCTTTTAGTGCTGCGAAAGCTCTCAACCGCCTGGTACAGTGATTTGCTTGAGTTAAAAGCAAACCCTGCTAGGGTGATGATACCGGAAGCAATTGAGATGGGGTCTGCCATTGGAACCGGGATAGGTTTCTCGAAATCAGGCCAAGGAGGGTAAGGTCCAAGCAAAAGTTGCGGGTTGGGCAGGGGCGGGGAATCAAATGAATTATTCCATTGTGTCTCCAGCACAGTATCTCTCACAAAACCAATCCTGCAAATGCCCCGCAAATGAAATGCACACCTTGCTCGAGGTAGGGGAGTTGGTCCGCTCACTAATGACTTGACAGCCCCGCGCTAAAAGAACATGGGCCAGTCATCTGTGCCTAGAGGCTGGGATTTGAGCTTGTTGCTCACCTCACTTCAGCGAGAAATTTTTACTTCTCTGTGCCAATTTTATCAGGAGAGATTGCTGAGATCTCAACAGCAAGTTTTGAAGTGGTGGATCCTCTAAGTATTACTGTCTCAGCCCTGACTGTTATTACTACTGCTGTGCGGGCAGTGAAGTTGCTCTCTGAAATCATTTCAAGGATCACAATAAACTTTGCATAACTGGGCTTCAAGATGAACTTGAGAATCCGACCAATATGCTGAACACATTGGCATAAGTGACCAAAGCTGAGCTGCCAATGTTGGCACTTCTTTAAGGCCTTGGTGATCAATGCAGCCAAGTATGTCGCGAGCTTGAACAATCAATGACGGGTTTTCGAGGGATTGGACAAAGATCGCAGTTAAGAGAGATGTGATACAACGAGCTTATAGTCACTATTGCAGGCTATAAGCCAATCCCGGTCGGAATAGGCGCCCAGTAAAACTAATCACCTGGGGGAAAAAAAATAAAAACAAAAAGAGAGAGAGACGCACGAACAGCAGACATCCCCGTATTCAACAGATAACAGAACTGATTCAGCAGGCGCACAAATCATGGAGAGAGGTCTGCGGCCAATGTGTATACCTAAACCTGTTGGAGTATGGAGGAACTGGATTCCAGTGTTCGACCAGCACGACTGAGATGATGGTCACAACCAACGGCGATTAGAAGTAATGAACAGAATATCAGGGCGCACCTAGAAAACTGGAAAGCCCGGAGTGTGAGCGATGAGTCCACTGATTATATAAAAGTCAGAACCCTCCTCTTTGTTCCTTTGTTCCTTTGTTCCTGTTGACAAAGTAAGTTAACTCAGGAACTAACTTTGCCTTGAAGAAAGCAAGGCCAAACTCTCCACACTCAACTATATCACAGCTATCGAACCATAAAACACCTCACGGATCCTCCGTCCACCGACCTTGCTAAACCCTCAGTCCCCTATGCTGAAGTCGTTGTGCGCAATAACCCTCTTATCCTGATCAGCTAGAGATTCAAGCTGTGCATGTAGTCCATGCTCGATAAAAGTATCAAAGCGCCTCCTTATGCCGCTGACATGCCAACCCCGAATGTGCTCGCTCTTGTTTCTCAAGCGGGATTCGCAATCTGGCCCTGAGGACCAAGGGGTCCCGAGCCGACAGTACCCATGGTCACATTTACAATGCGCCCATTGCTGTCAAAAGTTAGGATGGTCGAAAATATTAAAGCGTACATACGTTCACACTAGTACATACGTTATGGAATGTATTAGCTTGATTTGGTTATATCAAAAAAGTGTCTACGGGAATGATTCCTGATAGCGGTTGAATAGTTATAAGTAGCATGAAGCAAGCAGATGGAAGAACGGCTAGCAGATTCTCTTATCCCAGAGCTGTTCACTGATCTCTTCTAACAGAGGTGAAGTCAGTGAGTATATATTATATACAGTAAGGAGAAGCTGCTGCGGTAACCAGATATTACGTTCCACATCGACCTTGCTTGGTTGACAAACACCTCCTTAGAAATGTTAAGAAGAGGTCGATTGTCAAGGGATTTGGATGATAGGATATGATCAATATTGTATGAGCCGAGAAGAGGAGGAGGATGGACCCGCAGCTTTATCCTTACGGTCCACATGATGATCACAGTAACAATGGAAACAAAAATGGGTGGATCTACTCAGACATCAACTGGAATTTTGCTATCTAACCGTACAATGGTATATCATGTAATTGTTATCATGCCCGCTGCAAAGTATTCCATCGCGAACGTGCGTTCGAACTCCCAACAACAAAAATAATGGCACCGCATCCTTCATCCACCAATCACTTTTGATGTCTGATCGAAGATATCGCGTCGTTGTATGCCTTGATAATGGGACTGTATAAGCGTTTCGGGTCATGCGGGGTACCAACGATAATTCTTCTATCCTTGGATGGGAATCTACAAAGAGGCTTGACACACTCAAATATTGGAGGAAACTCGGATAAGATATCCTCAAACCCATCCACAGACATGTCGCCTCGCTTACTTCGTGCAATTTTTTGATAGGTCCCAGTGTACCAGTCTCTTAGCGCGCTTTCTTCGGGCTGCCTCTGTAGCTTATCTAACTTTTCCCAACCGCGACGGATACATTGCCAGATAAGCACATAGAAGAATGACTCGAGATCATGCCAATAGGTATGGTCGATATTGAGCAGCACTTCAATTGCCATGAACTCCATTGTGCCAGTCTGATGCCGCGCACCACTTCGCCCGCTTCCAACTTCTTTGGCAAGATCCAAATCAATTAGCATGCCTGAGTGGCCATTGGTCTTCTCAGGATTGGTTATTATTATATTGTTCTCTGAAATATCTCAATGGAGGATGTTTGCATTCAGATAAAGAGACTGATGTGCCTTTATGGCATCGCAAAGTGCTGTGAGTAGCTCTAAATATGATTTGTAGTCATAGATTGGCCGGCGGGTGGGTGATATCACTAGACAAGAGAGGATACAATTGTCATAGAGATCTATGTCATTTCTGTCAAAAAAGGCTTGGCTGGTGCACAGACTCAATGGAGAAAGTTAACTCATTCCCCTGAGTGTCTCTTGACTGTTGATTGGCGGAACGTAATCGCTTGGATGCCTTCATCACCTTGCCTGAAAATTTGCATTTCCTGGAAGATGACTTTCAATGGATATCTAAGTGATACGGCCCAGTGAGTGCCTGAGAGTGAAGTGAGGAGGTTGTGCTGGAGGGTGTTCTTCTGAAATTACAGCGCTTGTCATGGAAGATCAGGCCACTGCGCAAGTCAGAAATGTTGGTGATGGTGCTGTGGCTGATGACCCTTGCAACCCCTTGGACATTTTTCTAATCTGCTAGCTCAAGGAGTTCCACCTCTAGCTGCCGTTTGTCTAACACGACAACAAATGCATGGACAAATCGTCGGGTGGGCTGAGCAATGAAGACTTTACGCACATACAGCTCATCTGCAGCAGGGTTTTTTTGGTCCTGATTTCCCCCTCAGATTTTTTGAGTTCACCAATCACCAAGATGTCTTTCCAGTTGTGGGTGGTTTCTTGCAGCGAGGGACGGACACTGCTAGCCTTCAGAAGGAGGTCGACTTGTCATTCCGCATTTGAGCCAGCAAGATCTGTTTTGCTCTCTGTGGTGTAGTAGATGCTGCGCGATTCGGAGAGGAGATCTTCTTGAAGACGAAACCACCACATGAGGACATCACTCTGTGTAGGGGGATCAGGAAACCGGGCCCAATTACCATCACTGTCTGGGGCCAGCACACATTGACAGATGGCATCTGCTTTACTGCTCCAGTATTTCCCTTCAAAGTATTTGTCAAAGAAGCCCTCAACACCTAGAAATGTGCAGCTACATATCTCCTCAAAGACTCTTCGATCCACCAACTCACGCGCTTGTTCAGAGTCTTTCTGTGCGGATGAGGTGAGTTGGTCGGAGGATGCTTTGCGATGGTTTCACAATCACGGTCCGAAAGTTCAGCCATATGCATGTGATGGATGGGAGGCAAACACAGGAACAAAAAGAAAAGTGTAGAATTGTTACGAACTTGAAGTTATGATATATGCGATAGTATCTGGGAGCATTATGATCCCCGGCTTGATCCCCGGCTTGGCTTCGATGCAGGCACGGTGTGGAGATTTATGTTGGGGGGTTCGGATTGGTTCGTCCCCTCTACTACCAGCATGGCGCTGGTGTGGGGGAGCTCTTTTGCCCCAGTGACCTAACAATTTATACTATCGACGAAGCATCCGCGATCGCGACGGAATGGGTGGACGTTGCCGGCGTCGCGTCTTTCGGAGGAACGGCGGCTATTCCCACTACTTTACAGCTGTGGGGCAGCATTCTCTGGAAGAGGGTGGTCCAATATACTGCTATTTTTCTGACATTTGTATGGGTTAATTGTATACTTCAACCAAGTTTATAAACAAATAATGAGCTGCTGTTATTTTATTTGCACTGTAAATAGCTTCTTACAATCAACTTCCTTTTCCCTTCAGTTATTTTTGTTTAAAAAAAAATAAAAATTATGGGCTGTTTTAACGCTTTCATGTTGGGGCTCCAATTATGATAAATCTTCTATAACTCTTCTAGCCGTCAAAGTGTTGTAAAGCTACATAGATATCATATATCGATCACATGCAAAGCAAAGCACGCTGCCCTAGCTTGGCTTGTATCTGTATATATATATATTCACAATGAACAAACAACAAATAATGCAGACCAAAGAAAGCCTGCTGCCCACACCCTGTGAAATGGGAACCGATCCCGCTTGCTCTGTTAGAAGAAACAAACCCAGATCAACATAAGTACGTAGACAGAGAAAAAGTAAGGAAAAAAAAAGGCTGCGGGAATGAAGGCATACCATCTTTGAGAAATTGATGACCACATATTAGTTTCTTTTTTATTCTTATTTTTGTTCCTAGGAGATTTGTGATTTGAAAACGATTTTTCTCATTAAAATTGTGTTTTAAATTTATCCTTTTAGGAGGTAGGTGGTGTACAGGATGTGTGGAGCTTAGAAGCGTCTAAAAGTAGAACGGGACCGCAGAGTTAAAAAGAAAACTCCGCGGGAAACGGACGGAGGAAGAGAGGGGTGGGAGACAAAGAGGGGGTGAGAAAGGAGAGACAGGTATTAAAAAAAATTATTTCAGTTTCATCGCTTATGGGTTGTTCTTGACGAACTCAACACCCTTAGCAATGTTCTTCTTCAAATCAACCAGGCAGGCATCGACGAGTTTCTGCTCATATGGCGAGACGGCGCCAACGGGCATGATCTCCTCGACACCATTGGGTCCAAGACGGACGTTGGACGCGAAGAAATCGATGCCCTGGTCCTTGTAGAGCGGGCTGTCGACGAACGTGGGTTCGATGACGTCCTTGACGCCCTGGGAGGCTTTGAGCAGACTCTCAGCGAACCGGGCACCGGCCATGGCCATGGAAAGGGTGGCGGAGCCGGCACCATCCTTGGCCTTGACGACCTCGTCGCCGCCGAATTGGATGCGGTTGACGAGGGCGTCGAGTTTCTCGCCGGAGATGTCTCCATGATTGGATTGAGAGACCAGGGGGACGATGGTGACGCCAGAGTGGCCACCGACGACTGTGACCTTCTCGTTCGCAGGGTCGGTGCCCTTGACTTGGGAGATAAAGCGGGAGGCACGGACAACGTCAAGGGTGGTGACACCGAAGAGGCGCTTGGGGTTGTATACGTTCTTGGACTTGAAGACTTCGGCGACGATTGGGACAGTGGAGTTGACCTGCGGGAAATCGGGGTTGGATTATTGAGCATTTTCAAAAGAATGAATATTACACCGCGGAGCGCATAAGCGAAATACGTACGGGGTTGGAGATGACAAGGATGTTAGCCTTGGGAGAGGCCTCGGCAGCAGCTTTGGCTAAGTCACGGACAATGGAGGCGTTGGTGTTGAATAAATCTAAAGTAATAACCGTGAGTCAATCCACCCGTACAATTCGGACAAGGAAAGTGGTAAAACGCGATAATATATTGGGAATAGCATACCATCACGAGTCATGCCGGGCTTGCGAGGAACACCAGCCGGGATGAGGACGATCTCAGAATCCTTCAGGGCCTCCCGAAGGCCAGAGGGAGTAGGGTCATAGCCGGTGACAGTACTGTTTGTGTTGATGTGGCTAAGATCAGCGGCAACACCTGGAGCGGAAAAAAAAAAGGTTAAAAATGAAAGCAAATCAGCATGTGATTCTGTCCAACATCTTGGTAGTAATTCTATTACGATGCTATAGATTTTCCAGCATTGACTTCCCCTTCGTAAGGTCACATGGGTGATGGATGGTGGTGTTCAGTCATACCTGGGCCTCCCCGGATATCGTATAGAGCAAGTTGGGTAACGCGAGGGTTAAGCTTCATCAACAGTGACAATGGCTGGCCAATGCCACCAGCAGCACCGAGGACGGTGACTTTAGAGGCCTATCAGTGAATAGAACAGGTCATCAGCATCAATCCCTTCTTGGGGTTGCATGGGGGATGCAGATATCAACGCGATTTGATGGTGGTTTACCTGGGGCGCGGAGGCAGAGAAAGCCCGGCGCTGGGCAAAGCCAAAAGCTCTTCGTGCGGCAAGCATTGTTGCTGATGGCAGACAAGAAACACAGACAATCAACGAAGAAGATGGCAGCGGAGGAGAATGCGAGTGTGGAGGCAGGAATTGGAGATGTTGAAGCTGGTGCTGAAATCGGCGAGAAAAATGTGCCAGGCCAAGTTCCAGGGTGGCCGAAACCGCAGCGGATCACGGGGCCACGGCTGGAGCGGCAGTTGGCATTAGGTAAGGGGGCGGTGTCGAGTTATAGTTGACTACACGGTGGTTCCTAGCCAGCTATAGAACAGTGCCAGCTGTTATAGATGGAATCGGCCATTTTGGTTTCTTTCTATTCTTCTCTTTATCACCGTTCGGCCTGTCTAGCAAAAGGAGTTTGTTCAGTATGAGTATCCTTGGCTAAAACTACTATTATCGTGAAGAGTAAGCCTTTTAAACTGTATCCATGCCCAGCAGCTTTGTCGGACGCACCGACAAAGCACCCCTGTAACAGCTCAAAAATCGCCGCAACTCACATGCTATAATCGAGCAACAACATTGACATACTATCAACCTCGGAAAATGATGGCTCAGGTCACAGGTTCGGGTTCTGATAATAAGCCCAAGCTTGAACAATGATAGGGGCCCCTTTTCTCTCAGAATGTTCCCACTTCAAAAGGTTCTTCTGAGCCCCCTGGCCGCGCTGTCCAGGATGAGCTGTTTCTGATCCCAGGCACAGAGCCATTTGATGTGATGGCCCAGCAAAGACTGCATGACGCGCCCAGCAATGTCGACAAACTGTATTTTGCTGCGAACATTCATCATCGCTGCGAAAAGATCAATGCTGCCGCAGCGTTTCTGGATCTGTTTGCAGTGTTGACGACGAAGGCTCTCCTGAAAAAAATATTCTTTGGATGTTGTTTTATTATCTTTGAAGTTCTTATGTCTGGCGGCTGGTGGTCCACGTATCGCTTTCCATGATTATGGAGGCTAGAGTGCTCACGATTTTTTTCCGACGAGGACACCGTAGTTTCCCAAGTTCTCTCACCTCGGCATACTGAATATTAATAGAGAAGATGAGGTCCACGAAAAGGGCCCGAAAGGATATGAGGGAGGTTGAGAAAGGGAAAATAAAGTGATAGACCCATTTGCTGTATTATCCGTGATGAGGATAAACCAAACCACAAAAATACAATGCTGAAGGGAAAAAAGAAATAAAGAGAAACAGAAAGAGAAAGAAAGGCAATACAGATAAGGAACAAAAGGGAATCAGATACTCAGGCAAAACATCCAGCCCATTCCCGGATCCTGAGATCCATGGAAAAGTATATACATATATATATATATATGAAGTTCGAAAAATAAGAAATAACCAACCGGAGACAAAACTCCATCACCTCAAAAAATGTAAAACTGCCCAACAAAACAAGAAAAAGACAACCACTCCTCCCCAAAATATCCACTTATCCTGCTTCGCCCGCCGCTCGATCGTCCGAATCGTGTCCCCACTTACCCCCAACGTGTTCGCAACGCTATATAACCGTCGCTGCGTCCCTTTAAGGATCTCCCGCTGCTGCCCGAGGTCGCCGAGCACGGCCCGGCCCCTATCAAGAAATTCGTCCAGCTGTGTGTTTGTGTTGGAAAAGAAGGACTGTTCGCGTAGGACTCGATCTTCGCGAGCGTAGTCTGTTGGCCCGCCGCTGAAACCGAGACCGCCACCGCCGCCGCTAGTACTCGGCGAGGAGCGGTGGAGCGGGTAGTTTGGGTTTGCGAAGGGAGAGGATTGTGGAAGGTTGGATTGGGCGTAGGGGTTTTCGGGGGTGGAAGCGTGGTGGGGGCGGCGACCGAGGAGTTCGTTGCGGTTTGATGCGGATTGCTAATTTGTTTGTTGGTTTGTTAGCCGAGTTCGGCGATGTGGAAATTTGATATATATGTATCCAACGAGTGTTGTACGCACAGCATCATCACGCGCCTTTCTTAGTCGATCAAATAATTGTCTGTAATCTGCCAGCTCCGTGCGGAAGTTTTTCAACCGTTCAAAGGCCAGCTCTTGCTTGGCGGGGATGAGCTCTTGTTTGGAAAGGGAGGAATAGTCGTCGATTGTGCGGGAGAATGATGTAAGAGAGGCGGATATTTGGCCTGCTCGTAGTGAATATAAGCTAGTATTCTGAATATCTATAGGGGTAGAGGTAAGGCTCTGCCCGAACCTTGCAAAGCGGGGGATGTCATGCTGCCAGCTTCAGCAAAAACGTCCAGGTCGCGGCGGAGCGCAGAGGACTGCTTCAGCGCCGCGTTGAATAGCGAGTTCTGGTTATAAAAAAGATCAGTTTCGGAAGCAATAAACGATAATTGAGACATACGGGATACTGACCATGTTAGCTGAATCGCAAGGAGGGGTGATAGCTCGGCGACCAGGAGCTCTTTGCTAGGTACTTTTAGGGGTTGTTGGCGGCAAATTGGGTGGTGAGCTCAAAGAAATTGAAGGTAGGAGGCTTGCTAGGGCAGACTCATTTGAATAGTTCGGTATTCATGGCAGTGGTTGATGTGGCACATGGCAAAGGGCTAATCCGTGAGAATGAGCCTGCTCAAAGGAGCATTTCGACCTGCAATCTGTCCAACTCGCGTCATCACCAAAACATTAGCTACGATATTCTGACATTTTTCACCGCTTTCATACCCTCAGTGTATACACTTGAACATGGTTCAAAAAGGCTGGAGCATGGTTCGAATTTTTGGCTGAAAAAACTTTCGGTGTGGTTCAAACTCTCAATCATGACATGATCCAAAGTTGATCATGATTCAAGATTTGTTACATATCATCTACGCTGTATCTCGTTCAACTTTAGCGTCAATAAGTTAAGATACTAGTAGTTGAAGTTAAGTTACTAGTGGGTAGGATCCTTTAGTTACCAATACCATGATCATTACAAGTACTCCGTAGTCATTTCTCATAGCGATTGTTTTTTCTACTCCGTATGATTTTCAGACTCCAACTCTCCAACTAATTCTCTAATCTCTAATTTAATTCTTTAATCTAGTCTTCTAATCTACTATCTCTAATCAATCTCTAATCCTACCCTCTCGGGGCTCCAGCCCGCTATGAATGTTAGTTAATGAAAAGTCTTTCTGTGCTGTTTATTTTAAATCTGAAAATAATGTTTATTGAACTATGTTTGGCTGACGATATTAAGATTGACTAAATAGTAACCTACAGCACTAAACTAGCTACTATGAATTATCACAGCAATGAAGTGGATGATGCAACCTACTGCTGCTAAGGAGATGTTGTTCAGGAGCGAGAGCCAAATGAAAACCACCAAACCAATGATTCAAAATCCAAAACAATCGTCTCAACTAACTCCAAAACACAAAAAAAAAAGTCAATCAGACTCGAAATGACGGAACAGGAGATGTTCGTGCATGTGTGCTGAGAATACGTGCTACGAGTTGACAGCCAGACATGAATCATCTGGGTGCAGAGTCGAGCATTTCACTTTAGCGGATACTTATTTTGCAGGAACCATCTACACAAACAATTCCAGTCAGCAAAGCCCAAAAAGGGAGAAAAAGGAAACTCACTTGCTAACATAATAATCCACAAATCCAAGCGCACCTACCGCGCTAGACCACAGCCCCAGTATATTCCACGTTAACGCACCCCGAGCATGCCAGCGATATGCACTAAATCCCAACCCGGCGCCCGCAATAGCCATCAACATCGCGTTTCCCAAAAGGACGGGATTTGAACTATTCCGGAGAAGGGACAACTTGGCGGACGCTGCTTTATTCTTTACGGCTTTCGCTTTCCCCTTGGCGTCTCTTGCTGCGGCGCGTTTGGCTTCTCTTTCGGCTTGCTCACGCCGCTGTTTCTCCTCGCCCTCGCGCTCGATGCGCTCGGCTTGGGTGTTTGTTTTTATACGCTGAGACTCGTAGGTGGGGGGAACGGAGGAGATGTGCGGGGAGTCGACATCGATTAGAGAGGATGTTGCAGGTTCAGCTTCGGCGACTTCAACTTCACGAGGTTGGGGTGCCGCACTGATTTTATGTGCGTGTGGGGTTAGTGTTGGAGAGCATTTTTCAGTTGACGGGCCAAATGCTAATGGGGTTATCTCGTGCAAGTGTGTGTTTATGCTAACTTACGCCTGGATTTTTGTTAGCAGATATAGATACAACTGCTCTAAGATAAACGACGTACCTCTTGAGGAGATTGTTGGGCACCCCGGGAGACTGCTTTGGCGTAGGACATTTTCGGCGTTGTTTTATTGGATGCTGGTTAGGGAGGTGCTGGATATCTTCCGGATCAGCGTGGAAGCGAATATGTGGCAATAAATATAGACTCAGGGAGATTGGTATGAAGAAGTAGATATGTACTGTAAGTGTCTGTCGTTTGAACGAAACAATGAATTAGCTACTGATATAGCTATGTGTGCTGAGTTGGATGAGTGACGAAGCCAGTTCTTTCCTTATTGCAAGATGGGATAATGAGCTGGATACTAGTAGTATGTTTATTGGAAATGACAATCATATGAGTCCCTTTCCATGTGACCCTCTGACCAGCTCTGGACTTTTGGCAATGGAATTGGTAAAGTACACGAAAGGATGGATGAGAAATTGAAGTATTGAAGTTTTTATCCCGGAGTATTTGTAGCAGGGGCACGGTTGCTTCTTAGAGAAAGAAATCAAGCTACCATTTCCCTCGTCCATTGTTCCATGGAAAGCAGAGCTTCATGACGTCATCGTCACGAGCTGTGGCTTTCAACTTCGGAATCAAAATCCACCCACTAGCCACAATTTAAAGTCTAAGTCTGCTGCGTATTTGACAGGCAACGGGTGCTGTCTTGCAGAGCGCACCAAAAGCATGGAAATGATACACTGTTTTCAATTCGGTCACTGACCTTTCTTTAATATATACCTAGTCAAAATACGGAGGACTAAAATAGTATCCAATGCTATTACTCTTGTATAGTCAACAAATAGATGAGACTTTATTTTAATTTGACTAGTGGATAACTGAGGTACTTTGGATAGAAGTTCACTACTTAGTTTAATAGTCACACAAAAGTAGTTAGATATGTAGGGAGGAGGCAAAGAGTAGATGGAGAACAAAAGAATTGGAAATGATGAAAGAACGCAAGGAAAAAGACGGTGTAAATATAGTCAAGAATACATTTTTAGTACATGCTGGAATTGAAGGTATGGAGCTGTGTTTGGGTTGCTGTAAGAAAAAAGGGAGAGAAACAAATTTGCTCTGCTGTGCTCACATGAAACAGATGAGTTAGCCCCCCTGGGTCGTTTAACTTAACCACTAGCCAAACTTCTAAAGATTGAAAGAAACGGGAGGGAGTTGAGTGTTGGTTTGTCTAAAGAAGCAGCTCGAGAGGGTTCTCCACAACATTCTTCAGCTCTCTCATGAACTCGGCCCCCACCGCTCCATCAACAACCTTATGGTCGAAACTGGCAGTCACCACAATCTGGTCATCCCATTTCACAGAGGTAGCGTTGCCCTCCTCCTCACCTTCCACGGGCACAGCTACCTTGCGCGTCGTACCCACAGCTAGTATACCAGCTTGTGGTGGGTTGATGACGGCGGTGAAACGCTCAACGGCAGAGTTCATGCCCATGTTGCTGATCGTAAAGGTGCCACCGATGTATTCCTCGGGCTTCAACTTATTCTCGCGAGCGCGCTTACCCAGATCTTTGATTTGGCTGGAGATGCTGGACAGGCCGAGAGTTTCGACGTTCTTCACGATGGGTGTAATGAGACCGACGGGAGTGGCTACCGCAACACTGATGTCGACCGTCTTGTGCTGGCGTATGCTCACTTGGCCGTTTTCCTCGATCCACATCGAGTTTACTGCAGGCACTTTTAAGAGGGCGGCTGCACAGGCTTTGACAATGAAATCGTTAACAGAGAGCTTGTATTTACCATCTGCGGAGGCATTGAGGGCCTGGCGCAGCTTGAGAAGCTTAGTAACGGAAAGGTTTGAGGTTACGAAGTAGTGTGGATTTTCTCGGACGGATTGGACGAGGCGGTTTGCAATGGTTTTGCGCATGGACGTGGCAGGGATATCTTCATAAGCTGGCAAAGTAGCACCCGTAGTTGCGGCGCGGGGCTGGTATTTTTCGATATCTTGTTTTGTCACTCGCCCACCAGGACCGGAGCCCTTGACATCGTTGAGAGGCACGCCTCGTTCCAACGCTAAAGCCTTGACTGCGGGAGCAATGAACGGCTCTCTGTCAAGACTCGATTGTAATTTCTCACTAGTCGACTCGGACTCCAGAGTTGCGGGCTTCGATTCTTCGGTTGTGGGAGCAGGCTTGGATTCCGGCTCCTGAGGTTGTGGAGGCTCCTTGTTTGCAGCAGGCGTTTTCTCCCCACCAGCATCTTCCAGAGAGAAGGACTCGAAAGAAGAAATATCAGTCCCCTCTTCCACCATGACTGCAATTGGCTGCGGAAAATATTAGTTTCCGCATCTTACATCCACTCAGAGACGAAAAAAATGTGCCCCTGTGCACACTTACATTGCCCACGGCAACATCTTTCTCGCCAGCTTCCTTTAGAATCTTTGCCAGAACCCCTTCTTCTTGGAATTCGAAATCCATCTGGGCCTTGTCTGTTTCGATTTCCACTAGCACATCACCGGGAGAAAGGACATCTCCGGCTTTTTTCTGCCAAGCCCCGATATTGCCCGCAGTCATTGTTGGGGATAACGCGGGCATGCTAATAATTGTGTGTGGAGGGTAAGCTGAAGAAGTAGATACAAACATCCGCATTAGTAACCGGAGAGTAATTGAAATTCACGATCAACATGATCCGTCATGCTGACTTACACTTTGAGGCATAGTATCTGGCAAGGGCTGAAAGGGTAGGTAATTGCGGTCTAGAACGGGGAGAGGGGATAATCAGCATACAGTTCAAGGCACACAATCAAGATTGACAAGACCTGGGGCATACCGGACAGCATCACGGAGGCGATACACATGCCGTGATTCGCGTATGCTAGATGCGTTTTTGGAAAGTAACGAACGGCAGGCAGCGGACCGACAGATGACGGTGGTAGCCATCTTGAGCTATGAGAACCGAAGGGCAAAAGAGTGGGCAATTGAGCGCCCCGGGTTCACAACGGAAAGAAGAAGGAATTGGGATTCAGAAACACGGGGATACTGAGAGTGAGTATATGTTATTGGGGTATAGGCAAAATTTAACGTCGGGGAAGTTGTTCCTGTTGTTGTAGTTCGGTTCTTTTTGTTGAGCTTCAGCCATGGTCCACAAGGAGTTTAGTGAGACTTGGCGTTCAACTTCCACCAGACTTCCAAAAAGAGTTTAGGTTGGCTGTTGAGATTGGCGCTCAGGCTTAACTAGCGCCACAAAATGATTGGTTTAGTCATCCGAGTGGCTGAGTAATAATCACATGACCAGAAGCCACAGTCCGTGGTCTCGGCATTTGTGAATCTGGCTCCAGATCTGCTTTGCATCGTCGTGTCGTGGCTTTTGTGTTTTTCATATACCCTGTACTGTTTGTTTCTCCTTGCTTATTGCTTTCTTCTCAGTTTTCGATGTAGACGGTTATCTCAGCGGCGTGCAACCCCCCTATGTCCGCTGTTCATCTCAATGGCTGAGCTCGAATATGTCCCTCCCGCGGCTTCGGCGGAGGCTTCCCTCAAAGGCAGCGGCCTACGCGACGAACATGAGCTCCCCCAAAAAACTGGCTCCCAGCCATTGCCACCTGATAGCAGTGGAGAGAACGATTCCTCTATTGACGGGGAAAACAAAGTATATATGGATGTCTCCCCGACCGCTACCACTCCCAATCCAGGACCCCTTCGGCAAGAGGCCAAGGATTTCTCCTCACGGACAGCAGACAATCTTGAGCAGACAGAAACAGCTGTTGCCATTGAGAATACAGATGCAGAAGAACCTAATCCAGGCAGTGGGGTAACAGCTCTTGAACCCCATGAAGGCGCTGAGGGTTCTGCACATAACGAATCGGAGATGGCAAAATCTCCGTCGCCAGAGGATGATACAGCAACAGATCTATTCCAAGCGCGAGCGAGCACATTTGATGTCAGAACGCGCTCAGACTCAAGGTCTACCGTCGCAACTCAGAACGCCCAACGATCTACGCCAATTAGCTCCGCTGTGTTCATTTTAACTGCACTCGATACAATCGGGTCTTCAAAGGATGCACGGCGGAGCAAGGAGTTGGAAGAAGCTGTGGCCAAAGCTCGTGCGAATATTAAACAATCCGATGAACAACCTATTGATCCAGAAGCCATATTTGCACCGTTACAGCTGGCTACGAAGACGCTTAGCATACCCTTACAGGTGACAGCTCTAGACTGTATCGGCAAGCTGATCACCTATTCTTATTTCGCCTTCCCGTCCATCCCTTCTGCTGGTGAAGATCCACAGGCAACCCCCGATCAACTTCCACTTATAGAGCGTGCTATTGAGACAATTTGTTCTTGTTTTGAGAATGAATCAACCCCACCTGAAATTCAACAACAGATCATTAAGTCCCTCCTCGCCGCCGTACTGAATGACAAAATTGTCGTCCACGGAGCTGGTCTTCTAAAGGCTGTTAGACAAATATATAATATCTTTATATATTCCAAATCTAGTCAAAACCAACAAATTGCCCAAGGGTCACTCACCCAGATGGTAGGCACTGTGTACGACAGGGTCCGCGTTCGTTTGGATCTTAAGGAGACTCAGATTCGCGACAGGGAAGACCATGATGGTTCCTCACCAGCTCCTGACTCAATCAGCCAGGCCAATGGTGACTTGCGAAGCGAGCAAGATTCGTCATCTGAAGCTTCCCAACCTGTTCCTGACCAACCCGTCGCCAAGGATTTGACGGAGAAGCTCACCCTGCAGAGTTTTGAAACAAATAAGGACACTCTTCTAGTCAACGATAATGCTCCAACAATGGTTACGCGAGCGAAAGTTAGCAGGAAGCTTGAAAAGTCTGTATCTGGCGACGAAGGTGATTCCTTCGCCGACGACGACGTGGATGAAATATATGTGAAAGATGCCTTCCTCGTTTTCCGCGCATTGTGCAAACTCAGTCATAAAGCTCTTTCTCACGAACAGCAACTGGATATCAAATCTCAGAATATGAGATCCAAGTTGCTCTCCTTGCACTTAATCCAACATCTCCTCAGCAATCATATCGCGGTTTTTACTTCTCCTCTCTCAACCTTAAAACATAGCAGCAATTCCTCCGACTCCATGACTCTTTTAGAAGCTGTCAAACCGCACCTTTGTCTAAGTCTGAGTAGAAATGGTGCCAGCTCTGTTCCGCGCGTTTTTGAAGTTGGTTGCGAGATATTTTGGCTCATGCTCAAACATATGAGGGTTATGCTAAAGGTGAGTTCTTGAATGCATTGGTACTAATCCCTTTCTGGTAAATTTCTAACAATTTCCATAGAAGGAAATTGAAGTATTTCTCAAAGAAATCTACCTCGCCATTTTGGAAAAGCGGAACTCTCCAATGTTTCAAAAACTATATTTTATGGACATTCTAGAGAGGCTGTCCGCTGACCCAAGGGCACTTGTGGAAATTTATTTGAATTATGACTGTGATCGGACTGCTTTAGAAAATATATTTCAAGGGTATGTCAATATTAGACTGATAACAACGTAATGTAGCAATATTAACGAAAAACAGCATTATCGAACATTTATCGAGGCAGTCGAGCACTCCTATAACAGTGACAGCGATGCAGGAGCAACAATATCAGGAACACAGCAAATCCCAATCTCCTAATAATGATTGGCACCAGAAAGGAACGCTTCCACCCTCGCTTTCCACAGCGAAAATGGGCTCTGGAACACCCACAGGCACCCAAAGTATTCCCCAAGAATACGTTTTGAAACAACGGGCGTTAGAGTGTCTAGTACAAATTTTAAGGTCGTTGGATGTTTGGTCATCTCGGAAACTCGAAGAACAAAACCCTACACGCCGCGAACTCCAATCTAGATCGTCCATAGGAGGTTCCAGAGAATCTCTAGATACGAGCTCTATTTTCCTAGCGCCATCACCTAATACTGAGAGTGGAGACCTTACACCCGGTCAATCTGCGCCTATATTAGATGATGATCCCAATCAAATAGAAAAAGTAAAGCAGCGAAAAATTGCCCTCACGAATGCTATCAAGCAATTTAATTTCAAACCAAAAAGAGGAATCAAGGCGCTGCTCTCGGAAGGATTCATCCGGTCCAACTCCCCTGTGGATATCGCGAACTTCCTAATTCGAAATGACCGACTGGATAAAGCAACTCTTGGAGAGTATCTCGGGGAGGGCGATGCAGAAAATATTGCCATTATGCACGCGTTTGTTGATTGTATGGATTTCAAGAAGCGTCGGTTCGTGGATGCTCTCCGGCAATTCTTGCAGAGTTTTCGATTACCTGGCGAGTCCCAGAAAATTGACCGGTTCATGCTTAAATTTGCTGAGCGATATTTAACTGGCAACCCGAATGCTTTCGCTACTGCTGATGCCGCCTACGTTCTTGCATATTCGGTCATCTTGTTAAATACCGATCTTCACAGCACCAAAATGAAGGGAAGGCGAATGACGAAGCAGGATTTTATCAACAACAATCGCGGGATCAATGATAATAGCGACCTTCCCGAAGAGTACCTCTCCGGTATTTATGACGAGATCGCCAATAATGAGATCGTTCTTAATACCGAGAGGGAGAATGCTGCTAATTTGGGCATTCCAACACAACCACAACCAGGGTTAGCCACCAGGGCAGGGCAAGTTTTGGCAACGGTTGGCCGAGATGTACAGGGTGAACGGTATGCGCAAGCATCGGAGGAGATTGCCAACAAAACTGAACAGCTTTATCGAAGTTTGATCCGAGCGCAGCGCAAGTCTGCAATCAAAGAAGCTCTCTCGCGCTTTATCCCCGCGACCTCGGCGCGGCATGTTGGGTCCATGTTCAATGTTACTTGGATGTCCTTTCTTTCTGGTCTCTCGGCGCATGTCCAGGATACTCAACAATTAGACACGATACGTCTTTGTATGGAGGGAATTCGTCTGTCAATCCGCATCGCTTGCCGATTCGACCTAGAAACCCCTCGCGTTGCCTTCGTTACCGTGTTGGCGAAGTTTACAAATCTAGGCAATCTCAGAGAAATGATGGCTAAAAATATGGAAGCGTTGAAGGTGCTGCTTGATGTCGCTATTACTGAGGGTAACCACTTGAAGGAATCTTGGCGAGAAATCTTGACTTGTATAAGTCAACTTGACAGATTCCAGCTCCTTACCGATGGCGTGGATGAAGGGGCGCTGCCGGATGTGTCGATGGCTAGGCTTACTCCACCGTCAACTGCAGATGCCTCTCGCGCCAGAAAATCTTCTCAAGCATACCGACGACCTCGACCTCGCTCCATGCAAAATGCAAATGCGCACTACCGTGTCGAGGTGGCTATGGAAAGTCGCTCTACAGAAATGATTCGTGGCGTTGACCGCATATTCACGAACACTGCCAACCTCTCCAACGACGCCATTGTAGACTTTGTTCGGGCGCTTAGCCACGTGAGCTGGCAAGAAATCCAATCTTCTGGCCAAAGTGACTCGCCTCGTACTTACAGCCTCCAGAAAGTTGTTGAGATCAGTTACTATAATATGACCAGAGTGAGGATCGAATGGAGCAGGATCTGGGAGATTTTGGGCGAACATTTCAACCAGGTTGGCTGCCATACCAATACGGCCGTTGTATTTTTTGCTCTCGATTCTCTCCGCCAGCTTTCCATGCAGTTTATGGAATTGGGAGAACTGCCCGGGTTCAAATTCCAGAAAGATTTCCTGAAACCATTTGAGCACGTCATGGCCCACAGCACTACGGTTACCGTCAAGGATATGGTACTTCGCTGTCTCATCCAGATGATTCAGGCTCGTGGTGATAATATTCGGTCTGGATGGAGAACTATGTTTGGTGTTTTCAGTGTTGCTGCGCGAGAGCCCTATGGTATGTTCCAAAACAAGATGGAAGCGTGACTTTGGGTTTCAAGAAATGACTTCTAATGATTGCGTACAGAGGGAATCGTTAGCATGGCATTTGAGCACGTCCTGCAAGTCTACACAACTCGTTTTGGTGTTATCATTACCCAAGGCGCTTTCGCAGACCTCATTGTGTGCCTCACAGATTTCTCGAAAAACCTCAAGTTCCAGAAAAAGTCGCTGCAGGCAATTGAAATATTGAAATCCACCATTCCTAAAATGCTTAAGACTCCTGAATGCCCGCTGTATCAACGCCGCCCTGGAGAAGAAGGAGCTGATGTACCGACTCAACCCCTGCAGCCAAGTCGACAATCGGCGGAAGAGCAATTCTGGTATCCTGTCTTGATTGCCTTCCAGGACGTACTGATGACTGGTGATGATCTTGAAGTTCGATCAAGGTAAGAGAGAGGATAGCACAATATTATACTTATGTTATATTTTTTGTTTACTGAATTATGACAACAATAGGGCGTTGAACTATCTTTTCGAGACTTTAATCCGATTTGGAGGAGACTTCCCTCCAGAATTTTGGGATATCCTTTGGAGACAACTGCTTTATCCTATCTTCATCGTCCTCCAGTCGAAATCAGAGATGTCGAAGGTGCCAAATCATGAAGAATTGTCTGTTTGGCTTTCAACCACAATGATCCAAGCTCTACGTAATATGATTACTCTGTTCACACATTACTTTGACTCCCTCGAGTATATGTTGGATCGGTTTTTGGAGCTACTCACTTTATGTATATGCCAAGAGAACGACACGATTGCACGAATTGGCAGCAACTGTTTGCAACAACTTATCCTACAAAACGTCTCCAAATTCCAGGAGAAGCATTGGACGAAAATCGTAGGGGCTTTCGTGGAATTGTTCGAGAAGACCACTGCCCATGAACTATTTACTGCAACTACCACAACACCTTTCAAGGAATCAGAGGCTCAAAAACGCAATGCCGAAAATGCGGCAAGTGAAGAGTCTTCTGACAAAGCTATGAATGAAGAGCTTTCGTCGACTTCTATGCCTACGAAGGTTAATGGAAATACTCATTTTGATGGGGAAAGTCATGATGCGGAGGATAGCCAATTGAATCCTGGCCAACTTCCCCCAGCCGCATCTTCGGAGCTTGAAGATTACCGTCCCCAATCCCAAATGGGCCAACCTCCTGCAATAGTGACAGTTGCACGAAGACGCTTCTTCAACGGAATCATCACCAACTGCGTTCTACAGTTACTAATGATTGAGACCGTCCACGAGCTCTTCTCGAATGATGCCGTCTACGCACAGATACCCAGCCAGGAACTTCTCCGCCTCATGGCACTCCTTAAGAAGAGTTACCAGTTCGCAAAAAAATTCAACGAAGCCAAGGATCTCAGGGTCCAACTGTGGCGGCAGGGTTTCATGAAGCAGCCGCCGAATCTTCTCAAACAAGAAAGCGGAAGTGCTGCTACATATGTCAATATTCTGTTCCGCATGTACCATGATGAAGGTGACGAACGGAGGAACAGCAGAGCCGAGACAGAAGCTGCACTTATCCCGTAGGTTTTTTTTTTTTTATTTTTTTTTTCTCCAGAAAAATCTCCAACTCGAATAGCGAAATACAATATTTCCGAAAGCTAAATAACCTTGTTCACTTCTAGCCTATGCGCGGATATCATTCGTGGTTATGCCCATCTGGATGAAGAAACCCAGCAACGCAATATCGTGGCGTGGCGACCAGTAGTCGTGGACGTTATGGAAGGATACACCGGCATGCCCCGTGAGACTTTCGAAAAGCACATTGAAACCTTCTATCCAATCTGCATTGATCTTCTTGGCCGCGATCTCAACAATGACGTTCGGCTTGCCTTGTACTCCTTTCTCCGTCGTGTAGGAGAGTGCCGTCTCGGAATGCCTCCGTACATCCCACCAGAAACACCCTCCAGCCCACGGAGTTTTACTTCTCAACACTATTTTAATGGCAGCAGGCGGCGTAGTAAAGGAAGGTGAATAAAATGAAAAGCGACCTGCAGACCTTTACAAGCGCTCTATATCTTCTCCACTTATTTTCCTGTTATTACCCACACGTTTGTTCTTTTTTTCTTATTCCTTTTCATTTTCATTTAATGATTCTGTCGACCTTGAGTTATTTGGTAGACACCATTTTGTATTGTACATCTACCTAGACTTTGCTGGTTCGAAATTACTGCTTCCTCTTTTGATTTTACTTCTTCTCCTAAATATCCTCCCCAATGCGCTTGGCAATTCTTAATTCCAGATTTCGCGCGATTACATATATGAAAACCTCCACATTATACCTCTTTGCTTTTGCCGTTGTCACCCTTGGTTGAAATTATGAACTCTGCATGAGAAAAATCCAATTCTCCAAAGCCATGCAATATCGACTAACTAGTTTACTATATTTATTCTTACACATTTCAATGCATTTACGATCGGAATTACCATTAGATTTGCCGCAAATTATTGCAAACCACTAGGAATATTGTAGATGCACCCACCTATCTAGCCAAGGCAACAACGATTTATATGCCAGTAGATAAAATGCCCCATCAACAGCTAAAGCCCATACTTCCGTCAAAACCAATCCAGTTTGCGTCTTCTCCAAGACGCACTTGTTCGAATGTCGGCACCTTGTCGGAGAGATAGTAACCAAGGAGGGTCTCGATATCATCCTCATCCATCTCCACAAGCTCTTCCAAGCTCCACATTTCGCATATCCGAGATATCCTATGCAGCTATCAGATGGAAGGGGAACGATAGACAAAATTCACATAGATGATGACGGAGTGGGTACACCAGGGACGCAAAGAAGTTAGATATGACTGACCATTTCATTCTCTTGGGTCCATCATGATGCGAAGAAGCGATCTCTCTAAGTCTCCTCCTCAAGCTGCCCACGTTCTCAATCGCCGCCCCAGTGTTTCCTGGCAACGTGCTCGCAATTTCTTTCCGAACCATACTGGCCAACTTCGGTCCATTCCCATTCGTACTCACCATGATCTGCAAGGGCCCATCGCGGTGCACACTTCCAAAGTAGAAATCACACTCTGATGGCACATCAGCTATATTCGCTGGAATCCGGCGCTGCTTGCATAGCTTCCAGATCTGCGTTGACTCCTCTGGGTCATCGATGGCAACGAACACCATGTCTACCACCCCTACACCGCTACCACCGGCGATGTCGAGGTCGCGCGGCTCGAATTTGCGGTCAACATGGGAGACTTGTTTCGAGGCGATGCGGTAGGAGACTTCGTCGTTGAGGCCTGAGGACGGGCTGATAACGGTTACCTTTGCATCGGCATTGAGCGCATGCACTATGCGGCCAGCAGCTACCTGTTGGCATTAATGCTGCGTTAGTTTGAAGGCACACCAATTGGGATTTGATATGATTATGCACCAGCGACGAACCTCACCGCCGCCAACCACTAGGATGTGCTTGTTCTTGACTTGCCATGCGACGATCAAGGAGCCGCCTGGTTGGATTTGTGGGAACTTAGAGGGCAGCATAGCAAGACATGTGGACCGTAGTACGAGGAAGAGGAATCAATGTAAATTATAAACATTTATCTTTAGAAACGGTTGGAAAGTATATATTGTTGACGAGGAAGAATGGGCCGATAAGATTGGTCTGGTCACATGCCACAAGACCATCATAGATCCCAAAATCCCCATCAAAAATGCCAACCTCACTCTTCAGAACAACACTGGCAGCAAGTTCAGATAGGAACATTGCAGTGGCTGCAGCAGGAGACGGGATTGATATCACTACTGGCAGCATCTTGACTCTTTATTCTTCAATGACAGCTAATAGCTAACTTTTCTCACGTCCCCTCTACAGCTCATACCAAACTATGCGTGGGGTCCAAATCTTCTCAGGCAGCTCGCATCCTACCCTAACAGAGGCCATTTGTGAACGTCTAGGCACGCTCCCGGCCAAATGTGAACTCCGCAAATTCAGTAATGGAGAAACAAGCGTCAATATTGGTGTTTCTGTGCGGAACCAGGATGTTTTCATTGTGCAAAGTGGAAGCTCCAAGATCAATGATAGCGTTATGGAACTGCTTATCATGATATCCGCTTGCAAAGGTGGCTCTGCTAAATCAATTACCGGTATGTATAGACGTTTATTATCCCTATCCAGCTTCAGTTCCAGTTTGAAATATGCCCAACCTCTAACTTGATTTCTTTTTCGTTCTCTAGCGGTGATGCCGTAGGTTACTTCCTTTCTCTCAACCCGTAGCCAATACTGCTAACATGCTAGAGTTATTTCCCCTACTCTCGTCAATCAAAAAAGAAGAGCCACCGTGGCGCGATAACCGCTCGAATGCTTGCCAATTTACTCACTGTCGCCGGCGTAGATCATATAATTACCGTGGATTTACATGTATGATGATTCACCTTCAGGCACCACAATGTCATCTTTCGCTTCCATGTAATCTTTGGAGCACTAAGTTTTCACCGCAGGCATCTCAAATGCAAGGTTTTTTCGGAAGACCTGTCGATAACCTATTTGCTGAGCCGTTGATTGCGCGCTGGATCCGGATGAACGTGCCTCGCTGGAATGAAGCCGTCGTAGTCACAAAAAATGCCGGAGGAAGCAAAAGGGTGACATCCTTGGCGGATGCGCTGAAGCTAAACTTTGGTATCGTGAACACAGATCGGAGCCGGGGAAACACGAACAGTGGATTGTCAGGAAGCGCTATATTTTTCGATTCTGTTGATCGCGGTCTTCCCTCGCCGCTGGACGAACAAGCCCCTGTAGATCCGATTCCTCAGACCGAACCACCCGCGTCCCAACCTCCCTCAACCAGAGTTCCCGTTCGACCTTCTCAACGAAATGTCTCACCTAGTCCATTGGCACGAACGGCGTCTGCCGCGGAGTCTGAATCACCACCGTCGCCACCACACGCCTCGGCCACTGCCTCGCAACAAATTGAATCGTCATTTTCTGCGCGCCGTCCTTCCGAGCAAGAGGCCGCGTTCGAGTACACCGATGAGCGCGCGCGAGAGGTGATCACAGGTAGATTGGTGCAGGGCCATATTGTTGACGATGACTACTCTTCGCCAATTCTCTCGTCAACTTCTGTTAACACGATTTCTGGAGATCGGAATGGCACCGAATATGAACCACCCTCACGGGATCCCATGACCTTATCTTTTATCTCCAACGCATCGTCCTTCCATCCTGACCATGCCCTAGGAGGCTCATTTGATGCTGCCGCTTCCTCCGACGAAGAAGATAATAAGCAGGAAATGTTCACCCGTGAGAGGACGGTAACACTCGTCGGTGATGTGAGGGACAAAAAAGTGTTTATCGTCGATGATATGATTGATAAGCCGGGTTCGTGGATCGCAGCTGCAGAGACAGTGGTGAAGAGGGGCGGGGCCAAAAAGGTGTACTGCATCGCCACACATGGTTTGTTCAATCATGACTCACTGCAGGAGATGGAGGCCTGCAGGTGTATCGATTATATTGTAATCACCAATTCGTTTCCGATCCCCCCGAATGCGAAAGAGTTGAAAAAATTGATAGTTATTGATTTATCGGCGCTCCTATCAGAAAGCATAAGGCGTCATCACTACGGAGAGAGGTTTGTCAAATCTGCCGCCCCCACAGGGCTTAATACACTTGTGGTATATTTAAAAAGTATTATCGCTGACGCTGTATCAAACAGTATCTCCGCCTTGTTCCAAAGTAATGACTAGCGATTGCCACCTCCCTACCCAGTGGGTTCCAGGGGTCTTCAGGGGTCTTTGGGGATCTTGGGGGTCCTTTCTAACTTGTATTTTCTTCTGTCACAATTTGACTTTCTTTCTTTACACGTTTACTTTTCTTCCCTACAACACAGTTCTTCTTCCTAAGATATTGTTCTGCTAGAGTGCCGCTTTGTTCTGTAACGATTATGTCATGGTGCCGTCTTTGCCGGAGGATAGATGGCTTTTATCGTGGGATATTTCCATTGCGTTGCTACCTCTGTCGCAACACAGCTCTTATTATGGTCTGGTATGTCGCCAGTTGTGCTAGAACTTGTACTCTAACTCGCTGAACGAGCTACGAAACCACCACCTGCGAAAGTGGCCAGAGTAGATTAGATCTCGGGGACCAAATATCTACATATACTGAATACAATAGAGACCTGCCTTCACTAAGACATACAGTAGCAGGAAAGAAGAAACGGAGAGAAAAATAAAAACCCTTTGTTCTCTGCTCAATCCCCCCCCCTTCCGAAAGATATCTAATTAGGTAGATCTGAAAGGCGCAGGAATCATCCCGTAACCTGACATTTGATAGCTGCGATTTTTTAAATATTCATTCTACGGTTTGTTGACTTTATCCTGCACCACGAAACGAGTCGACGTTCTTCTCTGGGGACTACTCTAGCGGGGACAGTATTCGATCGCGGAGAACAGGCTGGATCGATAATCTCAAGGTCGGCCGTTGTTGACTCGACCAGCCAACCAAAAACGAGAAGAATATAAGTCAATGGCTTTCCTGCTACATTGCTAACAGTCCAGGATGACATATGTGGATGTGTACTCGTACTCTGTAGCCTACTCTCTGTGGAAACCTTGAATCCTGAACCCATAATCAACAAATACTACTATATTTCACATTCTTAGATACTGCGAATCATGCATATACATATATATATGTGCCTTGGGGAATAGGTCGCTACCTTAAGGATTGATCCTTTAGGTGTAGTGGTAAAACCTTCCACAAGATCGTATGTTTTACAGATACCAGTATTGATATTGGCACCGTTGCGGTTCTAGGGAATGCTCAGTGTCGTAGATGTTGGAGGTCCTACACAAGCCCTACCCCACGTGACCCACACATACATATATTAGTTGCCGCTAGCTGCTAGATCATAATAACAACCAACCAAGGTTTAACCTCTCACAGTAGAAATGCCCACGTGATTTTGATTAGGTAACTTTTGTGACCTTTTTCTTTTTTCTTCTCTTTTCCTTTTCTGTTGGCCGCAAGAACATGTTTCCAATCCAATCTGCAACATGCTGCTGTCTTTGCTGAGGCAAAAATGGATAATTGAATCTCAGTACTACACTGTGTTACTGGTTGACCTAACCACCATCGCAATCACATCACTTGGTTGTTTTTCCATCGAAGCATCCCTTAACCAGGTTCAGCGCTTTTGCGTGCCCGCCGCCATTCATCAAATTCATCAATCCCGCTCATATCCCTTTCCTCTGCGCCCTCCGGATCCTCGTGCACAAAATTTTGCGCGTCGTTTTAAAGAAACCCAATTACTATTTGCGTTATTGTTATATTTCCTTGTTGTTCAAAAGGGAAATTCATCTTTTTTCCAACGATGCAGAACCGTACTGGGGTACTGCAAGGACATCTGGAAAGCCGAAATAAGAAAAGGAGGTTTTTATTTCGATAAACAACCTTTCTTTTTTTCTTTCTTCTTTGCCACCCCCCACTAAGATTGTCCTTAACGGAGCGTTGGCAGACCAAAATTAATTCCTGATCCCATCTTTCTTCTCTCTATGGAGGAGCGCGGATTATGAATGGGAGATTAGTTACTCTTATTATTATTATACACACAGTCCGGGCTCTCTCTCTCTCTCTCGCTTTCCTGACTCTATATCCTTCGCGTCCTTCTCTTCCTATCCCTTTGATTGTTTCAAACTCCCGTCCTCTTCTCTCTATTGCATTAACTCCACTCATGTTCTTTGAGCAGGGTTGGTCATGAGAGGATGAGCCGTGACTGCAACGAAAAGGGAGTGGGATGTTAAAGGGGAGGGCGTGGTTGACTGGAGAGATAGGTTCGAAAGAGTTGAGAGGTGAGAAAAGGAGTGGGAATGAATATAATTCGTCTCTCCACCGATGAGAAAGTCCGGATTGTGTGTCTTGTGTATCGATCTCCGACATTTCTCAGCCCTTGTTCCTAGTCATCTATTTCATAT